GACCTTTGACGATTTATATTCGATTCGGCAATTATATATATATTTTTTTTTAAATGTCGTCACCTTCTCTCAACCTTCTTCCAAATAACAATGGTATATCAATGCGAAAAAAACGACAGGATCCTCATTTCATCCATAATTTTTAAAACTGGTTTATTTAATTTTTAGCAACAAATTATATAAAAGCAATGAATATTATCTTTAATCATTTATATAAATTTACTTGAATTCACAATAATTCCACTAAATAATTACATATTTATTTAACTAAATATTGAATAAAAATATTATTTTTAAAAAAAACTAAGTTGTATAGAATACATTTCGAAATGATTTGGTATTACATTTGAACTAATGTATTCTTTATCGATATAAAATGTCGTAGCAGTAATATCACGTCTAAATTTATCCGCAGCGAATTCACCGGATTGCCATGTATTGTTATTTCTCCTTTGTTCAATGAATCTGAGTTGTTCCACGTATTGAGATTCATTCAATCTTGCGAAATATTTGGCAGGAACTTTAACGATTTACTCTGAATTAGCAGTTACACATTTTTGTTCCCGGATCCCTCCCAATATTGTATTCCGTAAAACCATTCAATATTTTTGTTTTTGTAATCCATTGACAGCCGTCTCTCATTTCTAAGTATTAAAAATCGTTGCAAGAAAGAGAGAAATAGATCAACAAAAAAAGAAGAGGAAAAAAAAACAAGGGATTTGGTGTTCCTGGAAATGGAAACCGTAAATTATTTTGGAACGGAATGGAAGTTTTGTTGGAAACAAAAGGTTCATTCAATATTTTGGAGCCGTGTATACATACAAACAAACGTCCCGTTTCTCGGAATCCAAGTGAACCTCGTCATGTGTTGTTGCTTTCCGTTTACGAGAAAATGCATAATTTTTATCGTTTCCAAATTAGCTTCTCTCTCCCATATTTTCGAAAGGCGTCAAGCGTTTACGATCACTAAACACTCAGAACGAACATAAAACAAACCTAATCATTATTAGCACATCGTATTGCAATTAAAAGTAACTTTGGAAAAACAAGGTGTTTTTCTCTTGAATAAAAAAATTAAAAAAAAACATTAATATTCTATTCGTAATCAGAGATAGGTCTAATAATAGCTGGAAATCTAAGCTCTAAGAATAGCGAGAAATGAAAACCTAAAAATACCTAGTATTTGAAATGTTATAAAATGAAATGTTCGGAATTAATGAAGGAAATGACAGCGATGATAGATACGAAAAGAAGTGCGTAAACTTTAATAATAATAATAATAAAAAAAAAAGTTCGCAACATAACAAAATGAAATCAAATCGTAGTAAACTAAGCAGGTGTATCTCGAATTCGTCTGTATCTACTGATACGCACGTAACCGATGATAACACGTAACAAAACAAATCCAAACGAGTCTCTCTGTCTCTCCTATTGCATTTACTATTTTATATAATACGCGGATTTATATGAAAGTCTTGCGATATGCAAATGCGTAATGTATTCAGGTATTCAGTAAATCCACCGGAGGCATCAGGATAGAAAGAGCGAAGACGTGGAGTGGAGAAGAAACAAGAAGGAGCAGCAACAACAGAAGGAGAGAAATAGAGAGGAAACATATAAAAACTACTTATTATTCACACGAAAATCCACAAGGATTTCTCTGTGAATTAATCAATTCACATTTCAAAAAATCGAATTAGAATTCGTCGTGTACGACGCGTTATAATATGTTAAGCAAATATGCAAGGATTTTTTTTATTCGGCTTGTCGTTCACGAATTACAACACGAAATCCACGAGTAGGAAGTTGCATGCATCCTTGTACGTTCTACAAGGATAACTGTTTGAATCAATTACGAAAATAGGAGGGAGTGAATGATTTATAAATTTCCGAAAATTGGATGCATTTGTAGTACAACTCAATTCTTTAAATTTTCTGTTTGTGTATATCTATATATATATATTCACGTATTTTTTTTAAAGCGGCTAACAGTAGATTTGCCTTTATAACAGTAGATCGTGTATACGCATGGCTCTTTTGTTTTAATTACGCTTCACCAAAAGCAGGCATGCAAGGCTGCTACTCCCAAAATGAAACGATGTCCGACCAATTAGTGTAGTCAACAGTTATCCATTATCATCCGATGCCCGCATATTAAACAATTCCTTTCATTCACCAATTGAGAGAGAGGCTTATCTAAGGCCGTCGGGGAGAGTTCGAACGCCTCGTGTCCGTTAAGTAGCGCAATGGATTCGCTCTCGAATCGATACAAAACAATGAATAATAAAGGTTCTTATATTGACACGCAAACCACAGGTTAATTGTATTAATAATAATAATAATAATAATTACTGAAAGAAATCCAAAACGCGATCTTCGAAATGATTCATAAAAATAAAATACTACTAATGTGTCCGAATCCGTGTAACTGCATTCGAGGAAACAATCAATGAATTGAGTCATCACGCGCTTACTATATATATGTTTTTATTATTCTGAAACCTTATCCGTTTTACTCGGATTTAAATTATTTTTAAAAGCTCGTTACTTCCTAACTCGTAATTGGATGATTTATTGCGACAAAATAATGACCTCATTTCGAATGAACACGAATGAAACAATTCCTCATAAAATCAATTGTGTATATTCCCTGTGGAATGTAATTTCATTTCCATAGTAAAAACTTTTTATGAGAGTAATTTTTAATTTTCATAATTTCTTCAATAACAATTAAACAACAGCTCGTTAAAAAAAACATGTTTTTTCAACATTATGAATAATAACTATAACTCTTAACATATTGCCTTATAAGTTTTGTATTAAGTTTTAATAATAAATAAACAATATCTTTATTGGTAAATATTATTGTAGGTTACTATTATTGTATACAAGAGGGCTATTGACCCCAGTCTTTCCGACAAGGTTAATATTATTTATTTAAAAGTTATGTAGTTAATAATAATTATATATTGATATAATGCATATAAAATCTCAATTTTTAGTTTATTTTTGTAAAAATTGTGATTAATTATATTAATATATATTACTATAATTTCTTTACTAAAATAAACTATTATTTAATTTAATAATAGTTTATAAACAAAATATAGCAAAAAAAATACCTTGAATTCTCAAATTTTCGGTAAAAAACATATTTTTAGCGAATATTGGGATTTTGAGTAATGATTACTAATGTAAATTGACTTAACATTTGGATTAAAAATGTATATAATCTCTTAGAATGAATAATTCTGAAGATAGACGTCATTGTTGTATCAACAATGTGCTTTGAAAAAGATTTCCACGACTTTAAATGTTTGCTCATTGGCTCCACTAATCTATCAGAAGTGATTGTTTGTACTTTGAATGGGACAATTGATTTATTAATTGCCTCTAAGATAACTGGTTCCAAGTAACGCTCAGGGTAAATATTTTGCTTTGTCGGAAGAATACAGAACTGAAAGACTATGAAAGCGTTAAAGGGCAGTCTTTCGGTTGAAGTCACCTCCAAAATTTACGACCAGGTAACCCAGTAAATGTGTAGTTTGGCACTGGACTCATCTGGTCGTATTGGATTCTCCTTTTATATATATATATTTTTTTTGTTGTTTTTGTTGACGTCTCATTATTTTTTCCTGTTCTTTTATTATTTTTTTTTGTTCACCGCGGTCCAATAAATATGTCATAATAATTAATACTAGCGAATGAGGCCGGGCTCTCCGTCGCCGCTCCACCGTCGACGCCGCCGCGACGCCGACGCCAACGGAACAAAACAGAGAGGCGGCGGCGACGCTCGCGCCGAGCCCCGGATCCGCATCGAAAATGTATTTCGAGTGGCCTAAAGGGCGCCCCGTACCGCCGAAAAACGATAGTGCAGTTACAGAAATAACTGTTATTTTCGTGTATGTGTGCGTACGTGTGTATCTGTTTGTGTGAGAGTGTGTTTGGAGGAGAAGCATGCGAGTTCTTCTTCCATCCATCGGCCACGGTGATTTTCCTCTTCCCTGCTTCCTCTTAAGTGAAAGAGAAGAAGCAAAAAAAAAGACACTTAAGAAACACAAGCTATATATATATAAATATATATTACATATATTTTGAGAAGACGCCTGGTTCTAATAATAAACCCAAATATTGGACTTTTATTTAGTACGATTTGAATGGAGCCGTTTTATTTTTGAAACGCGTCAAAAAGCTTCTCATCCTCTCTTCTTCCTTTTTGTCGCTCTCATCCTCTGCCTGCCGTGTATATACCTATGTATATATAGATAGGTATAGGTGTATTTCGGTTGATCGTTCTCTTAATGCGAGCTATGGTTGCTGCTGGTTGGAAAATGGTCGGGAAAGCTTTTAAGAAGGATGCACGCAACGCACCCACCGCAGCAGCGACCCGTGTGACTCGTTATACTATGACTCAATATACTATTTCATTCATTATTCCACGAATATAATCGAAGCTTTGCGGCCAGTTTCCGCCGCTTGGAGCATCACCGTAGAGATTACTGTTATCCGTTTTCCCAGGTTCCGCGAAACAATGAGAAAAAATTACTCCCCATACTAATATTAGCTCCCGAATTTCCTGATACGCGTATTTACTTGGATGCGTCTATATATATTAGTATATGAATATATATATATAAGCATACAAATTTTTTTTTCTGCGCCGCCAGAAACGAATTTACGCAGCAAGCGCCAAGCAGGAAGTTTACTTTCCAGATCGCTGATACAGCAAAACCGAAAATAATTTTCCGCAAAACAATGGCATTTCCTAGTAGGCAATGGAATAGTTGGAGTGCAGGTCTTCTACCTGGCTCTGGTACCCTTGAATGGTTGTCGATTGTCGCACAGGAAGTGAGCGCGCTTTTCTTCTCGGAAAGCCAGCCCATAAATCACGCAGATATGATTCTTTGCTTGTCTTGTTTATTCTCCGTTGCTGTGTCTGGCGTTTGAACGAGTGTGCTTGTAAAAGGCAACAGCAATTAATATTAATTATTTAATTTCAGTCATACAACCCGTACGACCACGTGGGAGGATCCGAGGAAGACGACGCTAGCCTCCCAAGTAGCCGCGCAACAGCATCAAAGCGCTGAACAATTATTAACAACACACCAGGTCGTGACACCCTCACAAACACAATCACCTTCGACCACGTGTACAGGTAAAGAGATAGTTGATACAGGGAATCAAATCGGGGAAAGCGAACGGTCGCGATCGAGATCATAAGAAAATAAATGATGGCGTTCGATTTTCTTCCTTTTCACAGATCGAAAATCGAACGACCTCTTATCACAAACACGGGTACATACATGAATGCTTAAAAAAAAGAAATAAATTTAAAAAAAAATCAAAGAGAAACAAAAACAGTCAAAGTAATCTAAAACCTTGAATAATATCAACGGTGTTGTAATGAGTAGAGAAACAAAAACTAGTGTCATGTTTTAGGGGCGAAAACGAGTTCAGATGTAGATTTAGGTCCGTTGCCGGAGGGTTGGGAACAGTCGCAAACGAGCGATGGCGAGCTATATTTCATCAACCACCAGACACGCACCACTTCGTGGTTCGATCCGCGAATACGTAAGTACATCGTTGGCATTTTTGATAATATTCATTGGTTTTTTTGATCCCGCTTGTAAGAGTTCTGGGAAATAGATGTTTGTGGGGTATGAAGACGTTGAAATGTGGAGAGAAAGCATTCATAGTAGTTGTGGCTGTTGGAAGTATAGCGGATTTTTGATGTGATTCTTTCGGTTCTTTCAGCTACGCACTTGCAACGATCACCGGGAAGCACGCTAATACTGCCTCAGACCTGGCACTCTACAGGAAATCCATTGTCTCCGCAGTCGTCCTCAGCTAAGTCGCAGCAGATGCGCCTCCACTTGCTCCAGTTGGAACGCGATAAATTGAAAATGAGACAACAAGAGATCAGGCAACAGGAGATGAGGAGACAGCTGATGGTCAGGAGTAGTAGTAGCGATCTGCCAAATATGGATCCTTTCATGCCCAACCTCTCGGACCACTCGCGACAGGAATCAGCGGACAGCGGTTTAGGTAAGTACTTCTCCTACCAACTATCACCAACGCAAATATCGGAATGGTTACTTAATGATCTGCTAAAGGTATGGGAACTACGTATTCCGTGCCGCACACGCCTGAGGACTTCTTGAACATGGACGACAATATGGAGGTAGGCAGCGAAAGCCACACCATGGACACGCCGGATATGTCATCGCTAACTGATAACATTGACCCGACAGACGACCTAGTGCCTACTCTGCAGCTGTGTGAGGAGTTCCCCATGCTGAGCGATGTGCAGAATATCATCGATCCACCGACCACTAAACCTGACAACGTACTCGTTTGGTTGTAATAAGTGCCTGATTCTGCTCACATTTCTGTCCTAACAAATTTACGTCCAAGGCAGCTTTTACTTTGTAGCCATATTTTTTATATAGAACCGGGGCTCTTTTGAGCGGAAAGAAACGTGCAATCTTATATTATGTTTTTTTAAAGGAAGGAAACGCAAGAAGAAGAAAAATAGAAAGAAGGTGAACGAAAGAAACACCTACTATTGTATGTTTGTTACGCGTTATATTATGACCTAGTTTCTTTTTTATTATTATTATTAATTATTATATTTTTTTTGACTGTTGGCAATGATAACAATACGCTTCTCCTGCAACATGGCAATAATATTTTTTCTCAATTTATACAAATTAATGTTAAGGTGTTTTATTATTACTACTATTATGTTTCTCTCATTATTTTCGTATGTTTGATGCTTTATATACACGTGTGTATATATACAGTATATAATGATATAGTTTACGATAACTCTTAACACGGACACGGTTTGCTAAAATATCGATTATTTATTGGAACAAGGAACAATTACATGCACCCAATTTCTGCTCTACGACAAGCGTGTCGTCTATCAATATTATACCTATATATATATAATGTTCATTTTGTTTCGTGTGTGCGCGTGTGTGTAATTTTCGTAGAACGAAAGGGCTTAAATTTCTACTGTGATTGATATTCTGGTTACTTGTTGGGTGAAATATTGATACATATATTTTTTTTTGTTTGTTTGTTGATAATTGTATTGATTTATATATTTGGAGTATTATGTGATGTTGACGATACGGGGAGCATTCTACGATATATCCGGCATATACCGTTCGCGAATGACCCAAGGAAACTACCCTTAAATGCAAGTAATAAAAATGAAAATAAGTTGGCACTTCGCGATTCTCGAATCGCGTCGGTGCCGTTTACGCAACAGCAGTGAAAGATGTTTATGAATTGTATATGTTCGTTCGTTCTGTACGTCGATGTTACTTGTAACTCTGGTTCCCATTTGTAAACGGGGAAATCATAATTGTATGTTCATTTGTACGAGAGGTTTGAAGCAAAGAAGTGACTAACAAAATCCATCCATATCAGTGCCTTTATATTTGTAAATAATTTTTGTAAAACCTTTTTATGTATTTACATATACATTATTATAATATTATATTACATTTTTTCACAGGGTGTTCCACTCGTAGCGATGTTATGTTCAATGTTTTTTTTTTCTTATAAATATATAATACATGTATGTATCAATTATCTTGTTAGACTGTTCAATGTCGATGGTGGACACCCTGTATTAGAGATATTTATATACATTTATATATGTATATATACATATACATATATAAAAGAGAGAGAGAGGAGGAAACTAACAAACGTTGTTAATATATCAGTGCCTTTTCACATAAATTTAATAATATACTTATAGATATACGTGTGTTTTTAATGCATTATTTGCATATTGAAGAGAAAAGAAACGTTTAGCAATATTTTAATACTTTTATGTCCATATTTTATTGTGGTGTAATATTAATAATAATAATAATAATAATATAATATATTTTTTGATAGAAGCGTCAAAAGTTTAAAAGGATTATAAAGAGAGTGTATGAGACGAAGAAAGAAAGTGAGGGAGAGAAAGGGAGGAGAGAAAAAAAATAAACAAGGTGTTGGTACATATTTTAAAATAACTATTTACCATACAAACCGATTGCGTTAATATACTGAATTGAAGAAGAGACCGTCCGACCTCGTGTTATTCATCGGATTTGGCTTAAGACAAAGAGCGAGCACCACGACCACTCAAAGCAATTTTTATGACCGAAGTATGTTAACTCAATTACGCTGTATTTCATTATTCTTTTTTTTATCATTGTATACCCATCTCATCGAGGAGCAGGAAGGAGATACGCATTTTCTTTTCTTATATATAAATATATATATTTATCTGTATATGTATTTATATATAAATATATATATTATTAATCGTTCGATTTATCCAAATGTTTTATTGTATTAATACTGTAAATATATATAAAAACAAATTCATTTTCTCATTACCCAACGCATTTCATTTAGATATCTTACACTTATTCCGATTCCTAACGTCCTCTCTTTATTTTATTTTTTTTTATTATAAATATAAAATTAAATCATTCTAATTCCACTTTTCTCGACGTCGGAACAGAGTTTTTAATGCCCACCCACGTGCTGTTCACCTCGGAATACCTGCAGGCAAGCCTGTGTGGTCAAAGGCTGTGAATCAGGATTTTTAAATGAAGGCCGCTTCACACTAGTAAAGTAACAAATAAACAAAAGCAAGGCATAACTTCTTTAAGTACATATGAAACGTTGCTATACTTTAAACCGGATTTAAGCAGAACTTTGCCCTGGAGCAAACCTTCAGGTCAAAACGTAAAATTTGTCCTGTAATATTAGTTTGTTTTTTTATTATTTTCGACCAATTTTCAAGCGAGGATAAGGCTTTAATTGGTACAGATACAAATGGTTTTTAGCATATGTACGGATTCAGCGAGGAGTTAAATTAAATTATCAATTGGTTTATCGCTCGATAAAGGAAACTAAATATAAAAAAAGTATTATCAAAGCAAATAGTACGCCATAAAGTATTGATAAAGTGTGAGCAGAAAAAAACAAATAAATAAATAAACTCGCTAGCAAATTTCCCAAGGATTTTCCATTTCGCATAAAAGTAAATTTGATGCGAAAAATACACATTCTATTTTTGTTCTAGGAAATAATATTTGCATGTAAATGAAGCGTTTACATTTTAGACTACTTTAATGTAATTGTAACAATTTACTATTACTGTAATATTGAAAATAGGTAAAGAAATATTTGTCATACAAATTAGCTGTATTTTCAATTTAACAGTTCCTGGTATCATTGATGTGATGTTGAGGTTAATATTAATAGATGGCAGCACTAAATCAAAACAATTTTCTTGGGTTACTCAAGTCCAGATTTGTATATAACGCAATTATTTTATATTTACTTTAACTAGACATGATCTTATAAATATATCTTACCGTGGTTTGTTAAAAAAATTGACTGTAATATCAATTTGGAAGAAGGTATTATTATTGGTATAAAAACATAACGCAATAATAATAAGTTGGGAAAAATAATAACAATAAATAAGATTTTTTGAATTAGTTGTTTTATATATATATATTTTTAAATTAATTTTTATACTCTTTACAATCGTATAAAAATAATGTTAAAAATAGGTAGTTAACAAAATACTAAATATTAAAGGTAATCCACGATGCTCCAGAAAACACACATAACAAACAATTAAATAACATAGATGTAGACAATTCCGTTTTACACGATATAAAAGCTGTTGGCTTATCTGCACAGATAAGTTTGTCTCACGGTAACCAAATGTAATCAACAAAACGCAATGATTCGATATTTTTTTTTTGTAAACCCTTCTTACTCCGTGATAATTATAGTACATATGATGGTATTAAAGAAAAACAAAACAACTTCGTTGGATGTTCCTATCATTCTTCCCTTGCATGCTTCGCAACATCGGGCGCATTTGAGAAAATTAAGCAGACGATTTCAGAATAGATTTTACGATCTATTTATGCATGATCTAAAATTAGTTAAACTGGATATACATTATAATTTCGTTTCCTTTTAATATGGATTATAAAACAGTTTTCTACAATTATTCTCTTCCTTGTACAAAAATAGGTGGCGGAATCGGAACGTTTCTTTCATCCCTAACAGTTACTCTCTTCTTTGTTTTTAAAGATTTCTTTTCATTTACTTACTATTCGCCCGGCACTAAAAGGCACACACGAACAAATCCCTGAAAAAGTTTGCTTCCTAGTCCGTACTCTTTCAAATCTCCTACTTTGTGATTGTAAATACATTGAGGGCTTAATATTTATTTCATAATTTTTAAAAAATATTGATTACAGTACTTACAAGTCTACAACTAATCTAAAAAGGCACTGAAAGGGTACTTCATCAGTACTGGTTATATTCATATTGTGACTCTATGTCGGAATATTTTCTGTTTGAAAAAAGGGAGAGAAATGGGCGCTAGTCTCAAATTGCTAAGGGCAATCATATCCGTCCTTTCACACAGAAAAAAAGTAATAATTAAGTATAAATATGATAAAAGGAAGATTAATGAATAGAGGAAAACACGTAAATCTTTAAAGCAATAAACATAGGCCAAATAAATGTTTAAGTACTTCATAGGTATAGGAACACGGAGTGTTTGTATATATCTATAGGTATATATACACACATCCCAGACCTCCCAATATTTGGCTCAACAAAAAAAATAATATATATCAAATAAGCGAACGAAAATATAGAATGAAATAATAATAATAGTATTAAAGAACATGAATAATAACTTTTTCGTTTTTTTTTCTTCTCTTTCTGCTTGAGCACCAAATATGATTCTAATGCATGTTTCTGAAAAAATTTAAAAGTTCTGCTGGCGTTTCCGTTTCGTATCCATGGCATCTAATATCGGTTGTCTTTTAGTTTGATACCTTCTTCTTAACTCATCTATCTCCCTTTCCATCTCGGCATCTAAGGTGGCCATTCTTTGCTGAAGCTCCTCATAGGACAAAAACTTCAACTGTAAAGCGGCAGCATTTTCGATTTCGTGTTTTTTTTTTCTTATTTTTTTAGAGAAAAAAAATAAATAAAAACGCTTTTTAACTAACTTACATATTCGAAATCACCATCGGACAATGGTCTTTGGAAATTGGTCTCGGCTGGTACATGCTGTGGAGGCGGCGCCTGGTTTAGCTGTAAGTGATAATGACTTTGGAATCTGTGGTCCTCATTGTTATCGTCGGTATTTTCCAAACGAGTGTTGTTCTCTTGCTTCACTTCGGCCTCCTTCTTATCGAAGTGCCTCATGAAATATGGTCTTTCGGATCCGGTGTCATGCCCTGAAAATTCACCTCAATAATGTATGCTCTTCCTTCCCTTTAGAATCATAATTACTGACTCTTCATGGTTTGATCGTCCACGTTATTTATGACCATGGTACCGAGTTCGGACTCTAATTCGACGAGGGTACCGCTCTGAGACATAGAGACTAAAGTGCCTGGGACTAGAGTGCCTTCGTCAACACATTGAACCATTGTTTGGTTCCCTAAAGCCACATCTTCGTCCTAAAAGACACAAAATCATTAATCGTTGATTCGGTTATCGTTTTGTTATCGTCTGGTTTTACTGAGTCTTCAATGATGTTTGGTTTTATACCCCCTGAATTTGGAAGCATAATCGTTCTGTGGTTTTGGTTTTTTCTAATCTGCTGTGCTTCGGAAATCATTTGACTTAGAATACTTGGTTGCTTAGCATTACCTAGAAAACAGATTTAGATATATACGCAGTCTTCCATGTAGATTCTTGTCTATTTGGCTATAGGAATTACCGATAAAGACATGCTGTAACAGTGTGGAAGCGGTAGCTCGTTCTTCTGGGTTCTTAACCAGACATATGCTCACAAAATCTATGAATTCAGGACTCCAAATATCTGGCTCTCTGAATGACGGTGGCGGTTTTGTCGGTATCATGAATATCGCTCTCATGGGATGTATCTCTCCGTAAGGCGGTTTCCCTTCGGCCATCTCGAGTGCTGTTATACCTAAGCTCCATATGTCTGCAACGCAGTCATACCCTATTTCTTGAATGACCTCGGGCGCCATCCAGAAAGGAGTACCTATGACTGTATTCCGCTTGGCCATGGTATCAGTCAATTGGCCAGCAACTCCAAAGTCGGCAAGTTTCGCATGTCCTTCTGAATTCAGAAGTATATTTCCAGCCTTAATGTCTCGATGTATTTTCCGTCTTAAATGCAAATACTCCAGTCCCTTAAGGGTATCACATAAAATAGTAGCAATTTCGTCCTCAGACAGCGTCTTCTTACGCAGTCTCATAATATCAGATACAGATCCAGCTCCACAATATTCCATCACAATCCACAGATCTGTGTTTTTGAAATAACTACCATAATACTTCACAACATATGGGCTGTCACACTGTTGCATTATAGAGATTTCCTTGATGATTTCTTGAAGATCAGTGTCCACAGGTACTTGTTTTATGGCTAATACTTGTCCTGATTCCTTATGAAGTGCCTTATAGACACTGCCATAGGAGCCCTCCCCCAGTTTACATAATATATCGAATACTTCCTCCGGCTGTCTGGTAAGGCTCTCCTCAGACAGCTTCTTCAACTCGCTGGCAACCCCAATAGGTAAACAGAAAAGAAAAACAAATCATTATCAAAACATAAACAAACGCATATTTATGTTATGCAAGTCTAGACCAATTGGGACGCCCATCGGCGCCTTAATTGAGGTTTTCTCGACCAGAGCGGTCCAATTAAAAATAATTCATCGTTTCCTACACTAAATGCGGCGGAAAAAAGTTAAATCGAGGTTAAGAATGTCTTTGTTCGTGCTTTGCGGCCCTTAATGGATGCGGGGGGCCCAGGATCATCCTACATACCTTTTGGAAGACATTTTGCACGATTTTCAGACGTCAGAGATATCTAAACGACGAGAGCGAGTCTATCATCTTTGGGGGATCACTTTTTAATCACAAACTCATATCACACCAGTACCAAACACAATGGACACCCAGTGACATTAGCAATTTCAACCCATTACATCTGCGCGAAACGCAACTATATTCAATATCAACCACCAATTTTATACCACTTAACACACAACCGTGCATAGTAGATTGCATACAGTAAAACAACACCATGAATTACTTCTACTATTTAAATATATAACAACACTAAAGGAAAAAACAATATTTCAGCACTGAAAATAGTTAGCACAGCTATTATCACTTAAACACGACAAACTATTCTCTACCAATTACCACTAAAATGGCTTTTACTTAGTTATAGTTTATATCTTCATGTTAATAGTATAATCATCCATCTGAATACTAACGTCTATTTACATCATCAGATAGATTAATTTTAAATTAGACAATATTCAACACAATATTTCTAGTAAATGAAGAAATAGTTCAATAATTATAAAATTCGTATATTATGAAGATTCATTGAGTGTCAGTAAGGAAATATGCAAATGTCGGATGATCAAATTAATAGCATTGGAGCTGTTAATTGGTTCCCCCAATGCTTGATGCACTGACTTCCTGTTAATTATCATTGATTTAGCTTTGCAAAAAAGGTCCTGTTAATTCATGAAATTTAACAAATAAACTCATGCTTTGAATCTAATATAAAAAAAAATCACTTACTACTTCGGAATCCTCCTCACCAAGCAGTGGACAGCCTGAAAATAATAGAATAAACAATATTATTTTTCAAGCAAAACTTTCGAAAAAATACTGTGAAACTTATCTTAATAAATTTCGTGTATATTTTAAATAGTAAATGAAATTAAAAAAAAAACGTTTAGAAGTTAATACTTCTCAAGCATAAGAATTGTATTTTTTTCTGTAAATCTTATGCACAAAATACTGCATAAGGAAGCGAAGTTTGAATTTTATAATAATTAATTTTTTTATTGATGCGTATAGAAACGAAATAAAATTGCGTGTATTTGTGATCGTTCATAAAACATGTTTATTGGAGTTTAGCGTAAGAAAATTTCCATTCATAATCATAAAATTTTAGTGACTTTATGTTTTTATGTAGATACCAAAATCAATGACTCGTAACAAACTGCAATAGGAAAGATTAAGGAGAAAGATTTCAGGATACAATAACAAGTCTTCTAAAGTAACTGAAAATATAAGCAAGCAATAAGAAAAATAGATTATCCAAAAAATATTTGGTAAAGATTATATTAGTTAGATTCAAAATACTCATTTTATCTACTAATATACTAGTATAATATTTAAATTCAAATCAAATGTTTGTATCCATTAATTAAAATGTTGGTAATAAAAATATACCTTTGGAATGGAGGCTATCTTCTTGGCAAAGAGGACTCCCATAAGGGAGTTATCACTGAATCACTTAGCTATTGGTCACTTGTTTTGAAGACACATCATCATAGTAATAAATCAGACTAGGCACTGGCACTGAGCGTTGCAGAAAATTTGTATTATATGTGTTACCACCACTCCTGTTCATATCCTGACGCATCCTGTAGGTAAATCGCAACGACGCAAAACGTTTATTCATATAATTAAACATTTTAATATCAACGCTTACAATTGGCTGATCGACATCCTTCCTACTTATCCTGGATGACAGGATAACATTATTGCGCAGGCGGAAAATCAAGTTGCCTTCGGTGCAACCGATGCATCTTTCTCACGCCACTGAAATCTAATAATTATTATTATATTCATATTTAAACCTATAAATGCATGCGCCGGGTCAAACGATCTAAGGAGGGTTTAAAATTAAGTTGATTGGTGTCAATGTTATTTGATTAGATAAGAAGATCTTTAGGTCTTTAACTCTTTGCAATTTCTCCCAAATATTATTCCATATTCAATGTTATTTCAGCAACAGTCTTGATGATACCTTACAAAACTATCAAATACAAAGTTACATTCTGAAAACTTTGAAAATTTGAAATTATTAACAATTAATTATAATTTGTAATACTATTGTTTATTAATAACTGAAATAACCGAAAATATTCGTTTTTGAAGTTTTCAAAATGTTTTCTTATTGGATGTATTTGTCATAAAAATGTAAGAAATATAAACTGAAATATAAATATATTTAAAAAAGAAGTGTGTTATCTTTAGTAATGTGATATTATGTATTAATTAATTTAAAATAAATTTTGTATTGCGTTTCAAAAATTCATTTCATATTACGTTTAAACTTATTTTTTTTTATTCATAACTCGAGTTTTAGTGACAATCTTTTAATTTATTGAATTTTCAGAAATTTGATGATTTGGATGTCAAAATTTGGAAGAATATTGTAACTATTATGTTGTATTATGTAACAAATCCTATCTTTTTAGAAGAAGCAAAGTTTTTGAAAATGAAAATCACTTAACGAAATATTTCTAGGGGTTTACGTTCGCGCTAACAACAGGAGTGCAGAAGAATAAAGAGATGGTACATCATACTGGTGCATCATCAGTTGCATACGTATCATTCGGTAAAATACAAACTTTGCTATCATAAAAACAAACACAATCTTTTTGAATAGTTTCGTAAGAATGATTTTTCTATAACATTACTTATTTATGGGAAATAAGTTTCATCAAATATATGTTGCTGTTATATACTTGAACTTTCACTTTGTGTACCATCAAATAAATGTGAACTACATACATAGGACGTTCTACTAAAAACCATTAAGTAAATGTTGAAGTTCGCGTTGAATAATAATAATTCATTTCAGTTCGAAAGAAGATCGCAAATTATTTTATTAAACTTTAAGTATCATTTTTGTTTCTTGTTACCCAGGCAAGAGTAATCGATTAAAAATATGAGGAATGCCATCGTTCTGTGCTTTATCTCGTAGCTTATATAAACGATCTTACATAATGGGTATACGAAAACTAGTTTCCACCTCTCTCCCGTCGTTGCTTCGCTGATCCGTTTATTTTATTTTACTCTTTTATTTTCTGTTCATCTTCTTCTCTCTTAAAGTTTGGATTCGCCTGATTGTGATTTATGGAGAAATAATAATTATAATGGATGTGCTGAGATATGAAACGTCATCATTGTCGCTCTATGAAAGAATCAAACAAAATGAAATGCGTTTAGCTGAAGTTATTGTTTCATATTTGGTGGTATCAAGAGGGGATTGCGTTTGTGGCGATGTAAAATTGGCGGCGTTGCGTGGGCGGAGGGATGGCAGCAACTGAGAGCATCCGAGAAGACAATCCGAGAGTAGGCACGTTTCAAGATGGGTCCAGCGCGAGGCGCAGGCACACAGCATCCACCCGCAACCGCAATAGACCAAACCTGTTATTACAGAAGATGGTCATTGTCCGAGTCCGAGAGCAGAACGTAGTCCACTTAAGATAGTACCCATACCGTACCTAAGTCTTGCGCTCCGCATGACCTAAATGGATCACAGCTCCCCCAAACTCACAGACAAAGACTTCGCTCAACTTTCGAATTCGACTGATATTAGATAGCTACGTTAGATATCAGCTCGTTCATCATCATCTTCTCTTTCCTCGTTTAGAAAGAAACGGAGAAAAGAAAGAACCAAAAAAGAAAGAACGAGAGAGAAAGAGAGAGAGAGAGAGAGAGAGAGAAAGAAAAAAGCAACGCAGAGAAGGAGGTAAAATATAAAGAAGAAGAAACAACAACGAAAATATACGATTCTCATCTTTGTCTTTCCCAGTTCTCTTCGTCGTCGCGCTGTGAATATGTGTATATAATACATTTCACTAATTTATAACAACCAATAATCAGTAGAAAGAAGCCCAACATTATTTATGATTAACCTTTCGAAATAATAATAAAAAATACTTTCAAATTTATTACGCTGCACAAAGACAAACCGAACGCTGCTTTATGACTCAAAAGCAGTCAATACCGGCAATTAAGAAACGTTATTAAACCGATATTAATAATTCTATCCATCAATCGCAATTCTTCCAAAAACCTATACAAATAATGATACTTTTTTAAATCTGCAAAATTATTTCACAAACTAATAAGAAAAATCTTTAGAATAATAAGAAACAATTTACTACCAAGAAATTAAATAATAATTAATTGATTTAAGTTTTACAACATTTTTGCTAATATATTTTTTTTAATTTGAAATATTTAGGATCTAAAATAATATACACAAAGAATTATTAAAGTATTAACTGAAAGTTACCGTAAAACATTCAAACCTATTTAAAATATGAAGAAAGAAAAAAACAATTGACTGTATTTTATAATTCTTTGTTATAAACACAACCGGAATTTGTTTTAAATAATGTAAATGATTCAATCCTGGATAAAAATATAAAATAAAAATAAAACAATGAAATATTAAAGTTTTTTTTTAAATTTACAATTAGAAAATTTAGTTTCTGTTTCGAAAAAATATAATAATTTTTTTTTTTGTTAATAACCGGAAATTGGCGAAAGGAATGTGAATGATTCAAACCGGTTTAGAATAAGAAATAGGAATTAAATATAAAATAATATTACATTTATTTTTTTTTATATGAATTTAAAATTATTGATTTAGTTAATATTTTGACAAGTAAATTACTAATCATTATTTAATTTTTTTTATATGAATAAAAAAATTCGTTTTATTTTCTATAATAGTTTCATTTGTCAGAAGTGTTGAAGATTGATGTTGAAATCAATGGTTGTGAAACTAAATAAACCACTCAACGAAAACATTGGGGGGACTAAATAAATCGTAGTACAATAAATCACTGAAAAGTAAATCTTTGATAGAATTAGATTCACATCCATTACTTCAATATTTAATAAAAATCATCTATCATTCATATACAGATTTCTTTTACAAATTATTTTTTTTATTTATTGACGCACTCGATTTCAGTATTTTTCTATTACTAAAGTATTTAATTAATAGGAATTTCTTTAAGAAAATAATTGTTTGTAATTATTGTTTATTCATAAAAGTTAATTATAACAAATAGATATGCTAAATAACAGTACAGCTTAACGAGTTTAATACGTTCCAAAATTTCTTGATTTTTTACTCGCATAGTGAAACATATTCAAAAATACACATAATATGACTTCACTTCTCGTCGTCACTCGTTATGCGAAACGTCGCTCGTTAAGTGAGTCATTTTTCTTACAATTCAATTTGTTCGTTATTCCACTGGTATATTTGAAATGTTTACAAAATAATGAAAGTTTTATTAGTATTGTATAAAAATATTGATTTTCTAATGGGATGTCGGCAAATAAGCAAGTAAGCTATAAACACAATTTACGACCATCAAGGAATTAAAGCAATTACAATTCGTTAAATAATATTTAACGAGTGTGTTGTTGTTACCTGTCGATCATTTCACATGAAATATTACTCACGAGATTGTGAAAAGAATATTGATATAAATAAAAAAAAATATTTATAATTATTCAGCTGTGATAAAATTTTAGTATAAATATTTGTATACAAAATGAATAGTGTAATCAAAAAAACTGTGACTAAATATTTCATTTACATTTGAAATTCATTTGAAAAGAAATCATTAAAATTGTTATGAGTTTAAATTAAAAAATTGAATAGAAAAGTAATTTAATAAATAAACTTTATTTGAATTTAACAAAATTAAAAGTAGATATAAAACTTTTACGTTGAGATAAAGAACGAAATTTTCTTAAAATGACATGTTTTTGTTTTAGAAAGTAATACTTTAGATTTTAATTTATAAAGTTTAGAAATTTCGTTTTTTTTTAGTTAGATAACAATGAAATAAGGAAAAAATGTTGTAAGTTTTGAATATAATATTTATTTTATAATTAAAGACAAGTAAATAGGAAATAAATAAATAATTATTGATACAATAAAGTTTGTATAAAAATGTGATTAAAATTCTTGAAATAATAATGAAAAAAATGATTTGACAATAAAAATGTTATGTTGAGATAAAGAACATGGTTTGTTTAAAAAAGTAATACTTTAGATTATAATTTGTGTAGTTTAGAAATTATGTAAATGTTAGTTATATAAGATGTTTAAATTTAAAAAAAAATAGTGAGTTATAATAAATTATTTCCTTTTTAATAAGTTAGTAAAAAGTTTTAAAAAAATCCTCAAATGACATTTTTAGTTATTATTTATCACTGTTTCAAGAAATAAGTGTGTGAAATTGATGATTTTATTTAAAATAATAAAAGTTAATGAAATAATTATGAAAATACTAGTATTTAATTTTGTTAAAATTAAATTATTTCTTTAGTTTGAGTAATTATATAAGATTTAAGTAAGAATAAATAAAAAAAATAATGTTGTAGAAAGATTGAGTTGGATTTCCTGGATGATATATAATAGTGTTGTTTGCAGTATTTTTGTGCACTCACTTTTTTTTTGTGCGATATGGGTGTTGCGAGAATAAAGGCAGTGGGTAAAGAGTGTTGGTAGAAGCTGAAGAATAAGAGCGGCCACCCATATACAATACCGCACAGAAAATAGCGCATATACATGCTTTAGTGCCATATATATCTGCATGGCAGAGGAGCTTATCTCTGCTGCTTCCTTCCATGGAGCGCGGCCACGGTATTGTACGTGAAAATAATGCAAGATAGTCCCAGTCGCTTGTGCTCTTCATATCTCCAACAAGAAGTGCATGTAGGGGGGCCAGATACCATGTGCCCATGGGAAAGGGTTCGTACGAGCGTACAGACGGCAAACGACGTACCGGTACCACGTTCGTGGCATGAGTGTACGGGCAACAGAAAATCAGTGCCCAGCGCCAGTACCAAGTGCCAGTACCCAGTATACCCAGTGCCAGTACCCAGTACCAATACCAGTACCAATAGCCCCGCTAGTACCTACACCGCGTGTCTTATGGTCCGAGCGTGGTACTCTCCAAAGACTATATACCATAAAGTGGTGTGCTGCGCGGGTGTTCACGTGCGAGCTCTTACGCGTCTCGTTCCGACAATGTGTGTGCAATAAATGTGCGATTTATATGACTTATTTGTTAACAAACAATCATGTTTACACGGTAATTCCATTCTTATTATTATACAAGACCTGATCCACCCACGCACCGGGACACTCAACCCCCGGCGCGGATCCCCCGCGACCCGGAACAGATTTCCCGCGGAAACCTCTCGACCCGTCGGCAAATTCGCAAAATTCATCAACCAAATAAAAAAAAAACAAACAAAAACACCGCAAAAATAAATAAAATAAATCCACACAAATAATAAAAACATAAATAAATAAACAAATTACTCAAACAATACGAAAAAAGAAAAATAATTACAGAACTATTATTAACAAGAAGAAAAAGGCATTCCTTGAATTATTCAGCGATCGGCTGCGTGTGCACATTTATAAAAATATACCGATTACCTAATTAATTTTACGTAAGTCGATGGAATTAGAAGCGGTGAAGGAGGAGGAGGAGGAAAAGAGGAACGTAGAGATAATAAATAAATGGTCGACGGAGTAGAGTATTAATAACAATAAAGATATGTAATTGCAGGTTTTCCGATACGATCATTGTTTTTCCATTGAACGTCTAATTACCGATTCACCATTAGAAACAAATTCAATTTACATATCTCTTCCAATTTAATGGCGCGTATAAATATTAACAATTACTGCGAACGGGAACAATCATCGATTAATCCCAAACATCATTGTCTGAAACCGCTCGAATGTCTAATTCGAATTCTCTTACAAATTTTATTTTGTTTCATATATATTTCTTTTTATTCTTCTTTGTTTTGTTTTGTTCCGTTCTGTATTGTTGCTGTTGCCCGAGATTAAGATTGAATTCGTCGTTACCTGTTGACCTTTTCGGTCGATACATTTTGTGCAACATTCGTTTTTCGTGAAGCTCATGAAGCGCCGGTAAATACAAAATGTCTATAAGAAAAAAAATATTGTATATATATATATACATAAATTGTGTATGTATACAAGAGGAACGTTATCGAAGCGCGGAGGAACAATTAAAGGAGATTTATTGGCTATTGAAGCGCAATTAAAAAAGAATATATATTGTAAGCGCACCAACGGAAAACAGAGAAGATTCGCGTCGCAACAAAATGTTACCAAATAGTACTCAACAAATTACTTACTTAAGTCAAGAAATATATATATATAATTTGTTATAAAGTATTTGAAACTAAAAAATGTTTAAAAAAATATATAAATTTATTATTAAACGAAATAAAAATTATAATTGAAAACTGAAGTTACTAAAGTATTCCGTATTTATAAGTATAAAATTTTAAAGAAATTATTCTTATATTATTAATTAATTACTTACTTGAAACAAAACTTGAAAAAAAACTGCTTTGATAAATAATTAAAGAAATTCTGCTTGAAAACTAAAAATTCTTCAATAAAATCAAAATTTTTATCATATTTTTAGAAAGAAGAAACGTAAGATTTTTATTTTTCCATTAAGTACTCTTTCTTATTTCAATAAATGCATATAATAACTTAAAAAAGCCCTTTGGCCAGCCTATTAATATAGATTTTTTTATTGTATGTTAATGTATATGTATAAATTGTACATTTTTTTCTTCTTCTTATGTATTGATGTTTGGCCAATAAATTATTATTAACTTAAAAAGTGTTATTTTAACAAAATATTTTGTTAGTAGAATTTTCTAAATCTTATATATTTAAATTTTTAAATAAATATATTTAGTATTTACACATAACAAAAAAATATATTTATTCGTTGGAACAAATTGATCAATTATATAAAAATATTAATAATTTCAATTTCGGTAATTTGATGGTCATTTTCAGAAATAACGGAAATCTTATATAAATTAATGTCAAAGATTTATGAAATCAGGAAGAATTGAGTAATATTGTAAATGCAATTAAGCAAAAGATACATATGCTAACACGAATTGGGATATTAATTTTGTGAGAGACTGGTAATTTGTGTATTCGGATGTTAGTATTATTATTATTTTTAATTGCTGTGCGAGAATTCCATTACAGAATTTCCTCCACGGAGGACCACCGTTTCGCCTCCACAGAATTCTCCCAATTTAAAAATTAATCTCGTTTAGCTTTAGGCGCAGAATTCCGATTTTAATTATATATTTTTCCCTCTACTAAACTGTATTAAGATTTCCTTTTAATTAATTAATTAATTAAACTTTTATATATACACACACAACCTTCGTTTTATCTACTTATAAACTGATATTTATAGGTGCACACAGCTCTAATCTGTACGAAATATCAACTGGCCAATTTAACTTTTATAGCTAAATAATTAATTAAAAATCCATTTCTCTACATATCACTTTTTTTTTCCTTTTATTTCTCTAATTCATTTTTTTTTATTGCGTTGTATAATCAATTTAATCGCAGATAATTTCGTGTGAAATGTCAGCCAATAATAAAAAAAAATATTATGTGTAAATGCAATTAGAATTTTTATTTCATCTTATTTTTTTTTTGTAGAAAAATCATTGCCGTAAGGATTTTGTAGACTAATGTTGTGCTGGCGTGATTGAGGCTAAATTCCATGTTTGTGGTGTGGTCTATGGGATCTTTTATGATCTCGAAGCCGAAAATCTTCGTTCTTCATCTCCAATTATAAGTAATTAATTGCATTAATTTACCGAGGGCAATAAGCTCACGCGACTCATTAAATCATTTATATCTCAATTAATGTATACCAACTTCTTCAAAGTAAATTTCTGTATGCTCCGACCACTTTCAAACAATTTGATGATCCAGGATTTTAAGGAAATCTTCATTTCTTCAACCAAAAAAATAGAAGCAAACTTCCTCTTATTGTTAGTAAATAATAGGTAGAATAACATTTTGTTACTTTTTCTTTGCAAAGATGAAAAACAACAATTGTTTTTATTGTATTAAGAATATCATAACTAGCTATGATATAATTACATGCGACAACAATGTGAACAAGAGTCGCGTGAAGACCACTTAGGACGCGGATTCAATGAAGAACTTTCAATGATTTTCTTTGGAATAATTGTTATGATTGTTTCCTTCGCTTGCTCATTCTCGATGCCGTCACAATATTATACAATATGAATAAATTAACTGTGGCAACTTATCTAATTTATAATATTATTGTTTGTTGGAAATTCTACAGATTAAGTTATTTACTGTTGTTTTTATTGTGATTTAACGATAAAATATTTATATAAACGATTTATATTCGTATTCGTACATAATATAAGTTTAAAAACTGGTAATGCCATAACTGAATTTTTTATAGTAAACTACTGTCTCTTTTTGTTACAATTAATCATTTATAATTTAGCTTTTTCTTGAATAATATTCATAATTTTTGTTTTAATTGATGTTTATAAATATATGAATGATTATATTGAATAAGTGATAGGTTTATAATGTTGTGTGAAATTTTATTTCAATGGAAAACTCATTGTTAATGTATCGGAAAATAGTTGTTGGTTGTAGAAAGGTTAACAATGAATAGTAATTGATAAGTATAATGTAGAAATAAGATGTTGGAATGTTTTCCTGATGCGGAAAGGAATTGACGTGAAACGATTGCGCAAAAATGATTTAAGTACAGGCGTCGTCGTACAATGAAGAAGTAGGGACTCGTCGAGGAGTCCGGATTAGCATGAGAAAAAAAAAATATGGTAAATAGAGACTGCTTTGCATAAACTGTTTTGGCCCAAGTGACGAAGAACCGCGATGATTGTGATGATGATGAGCGCGTTGCGAAAAATCGCGTACGGAAAATTGGAAAGTCGAAGGGCAAAGTGTCGAGTTCTTTGTGATTTGGATATAATTATGCATGAGCAGCGGAAAGGAACGGGAGGACGAGCTTTTAACGTATTTGGGAAAGTTGACGACTGAATCTTGACAAGTGACAAGTTATACGATGGAAGGAAAGATTAATAACGTACCCGTATACCCTGGGTACGGGGCGAACGGAGGAAGATGCGCTTGGGATCATCATCTCTCTTTCTCTTTCTTTCTTTTTTTTTTCTTTCTATCTTTGCTCTTGCAGCCTCCTCTCGTCGTCCCCGCGGTGACTGAAAATGAGGCATCTCGTATGGTGATGGGAGGTGAAACGAAATTTGTGCTCGAATCGAAGGATTTCATTCGAGCGGCCGCATGAGCAATGTCGAAATTCTGGCCCGCAGGTTGCACAACCTAGGTTCTCGGATGGGACAGAGAACGGACCTAAGTGGCCCGATGTGTGTAATGATTGAGCGATAATTAGTGCGGCGTTAATTGATTCGTAGAACGTTGGGCAACAGTATTCCTCCACCTCCGCTGGGATGGGTCTCCTGGTTCTCTTCTGCATCTCGAACGCGAGAGCTTTGTTGAAACGGGTGATGTATGGGTTCTGCGCTGGGCATTAGTGTGGTAATAAGAATAAGGCGAAGGCGCGTGTTGTGACCTAGTATGCGATGTGCGCTATGCCGTGCTGCGCTACGCTATGCTATCACCTGGCTATGCCTGGACAGGCATGGCTATGCTATGCTATGCTATGCCATGCCGAGAGGCTTAGAACATGTTACGAATTCCGCGAGCGAGGGAGGAACAAAGAGTTGGCCCGAGAGAGGCAGGCCGTACTAGTTACTAGTTACAGCTTCCCCCCACAAACTGAGAAGAGCAGAGCTGAACGGACGGAACGAGCGGAGAGCGCATTTTCTGATATTTCCATTACGCGTTTTGCATTCGATTCCGCGCATTTATGATGATTTTCTTGAATCTCTGTTCTTTTCCATCTTGTCTCGGCCTTCCGTCCCCCCACGTTCCGTCTTCGTCTTCGGATGCTGGAGAGGCGTACCTCTTCCCACCCTGGGATCATTTAAAATGCCGCATGTTCGAAAGTCGCATTGTTTTCCATTAAAACACATAACTCTAATAACAATATTTATACCTAATGATGGTAATTTGTTTGTATCCTGGCAAAAGGCTCGCAAACAGATAAATCCGAGATCGCCGCTCGATTGTGATTACCATAAATTATCAACGGGGAAAAACGCGTATTACCTTATGCTATTTGTACGTATTTTCCCGGCGCGGTCGCGGCTTTCCACTCTTTGGATCCTTGGTGTCCAATCGAAACGCCCAACCTTAATGCCAACCATCAAGCTCCACCCAATACAACACTCTTTCCTACCGATCCTAATTAACCATTGTTCATTTCAATAAGATCCCACTTACCAAACTACAATTAACACCGATCATCTTTCCACTTAACCCATTTTCCACAACAAATTCCAATATGGATCCATAAATTATCATCATCAAAATATTTTCACAATTAATTTTCCTAAAAAAACATACATTTAGTATTCAAATCTTAAAACTTAATAATATAATTATACATTTATTTATAGTTAGAATATTTGTATATTAAATGAAATCATTTCTTTTATTAAATTTTTCTTAAGAAATACAATAACTAAATACTAATAAACAAATAGAATATTTTGAGAATTTAAAATAATATTACTGAAAATTTGTAAATAACATTATAAGTGAGAAAATAAAACATCATCACATCAATTACGTAATGCATATGACGAGAGAGGCTGTCCGAAAACGCGAACATTTAACGATGATTCTTCATAATCTCAGTCCGAGTATTTGCATACATCTATTTATTATTATTATTATTATTTGCATATAAATTAAACTGTCTCAGTAAACATAATCATTAGATTGTACATCTCCTTGCAAAATGCCAATAGTTCCATTTTTTTTTAAGATCGTTGCATGTGCTAATGTCAATTTCATATATAATTTGTTCGAAGAATTCCTCCGAGTTGTTTACCGAACTCACTTATTTTCAAAGATCAAAAACAATATATGAAAATCGCGCATAATGAAACACGACAAAATGTGCAAATCAAAATTAAAAATGAAATTTAAAAAAAATATATAATAGATACATTAGCAGATTAACGGGAAAGGTCAACATTAATAAATATTTTAGAATGAAGCTAAAAGCATCCATCCAGATCGGTTCCAAATTGATATTGGCTCTAAGTAGACATCCATTAATCTACCATAAATCAAGTTTAGAGAAATTGATTTCGATAAATAAAAAAAGCAGATTTTTTTATTTAACTTACTTAATTTTAATATAATTAATTATTTTATCAAGAAATTGTTGTAATAATGGTGATTTCTGAAATGAATTAAACAAACGTTAATGCAAAGATGTTGAGAAAAAAAAATTCAAAAAGCATCTTGATTTTAAGTAACGATTGAGGATGGAACGTTAACATAGTCGAGTGGTAATTGCTGTAAAATCATTAAGAAAATAGCGATCTGCACGAGCTTTAGGTGGATCTGTGATCTGCGCATAGGATTTTCGCGAGATTTTCTTGAATGAGACGATACGGAATTGACGTGGCAATTTTATGATAATTGTCCAATATTAAATTTAATTAAACGTCCCATTAAGTGAGCATTAGATCGTAATCGAAAACACACAAGTCTGCCAATACGTAGCGACGGCAACAGCAACAGCACAGCAAAGCACATTTTCGTGTCGCCCTCAAGTCTACCGCGACCGAAAAAGTCGCCGCACGACAAAAGAAACAAACAAACAAAGACAACAACAATAAACAAACAAACAAAAAATAGGTTGCTGTTGCTGTCGAGCTGAAGAGGCGCATTTAATTAACGGCGCAACACCCTCGAAAACCGGAGAGAGAAGACGATACGAAAAGAGTAAAATAAAAATAATGCGAAAACCGAAGAAGAGTATTGGTGAGAGAGACGACAAGAAAAGAGAAAAAAAAAATAAGAAGAAGGTTGGAGAGATTTCATTAAGGAAACCAATATATTACGTCGGGTTCCGTACAAGGCTTCAGTAATTAACAAGCGGATTTATTAAGCTCGCGATCACTACAAGCGTATTATGTTTACCCCACATAATAATACCGCGCCGTTACACAATCACGCTCCGGTGGAAACCTATGGTTTCAGACTTTCCGTCTGACGATGATGCACTTGTTTACTTGTTACTGTTTCTATTCCTGTGTCTGATTTTTCCTTCTTTTTTTGGAATATTTTTGTTTGTTGAAGGTTCGACGCGAATAAGTCGACCAAAGGGGCCAGTAAATTACGAAGAGACCTAATAAACGCGGAAATCGCTAATCTTCGCGAGCTTCTTCCGCTGCCTCCATCCACTCGACAGAGGCTTTCCCAGCTCCAGCTGATGGCTCTGGTCTGCGTCTACGTCAGAAAAGCCAACTATTTCCAGCAAGGTGAGGATGTTTTTTTTACTATACTCTCTATTTATTTTTTTTTAATTTTACTTCGTTTTGTTTCTACGGCTTCGATGCAAGTCGAAAGTAATTAAGATCATTGTGCATATCATAATCCTGGGCACCGTTACGTTATGGGCTTAGCGACTATTATATGGCGGTTAGTTCTTGTTGAGGGATTTTTTAATTCGCTCGCTAGACAATTGAGCACGTAGGACCATTATATATCGTTTGTTGTCTTGTTATATATTCTTGTTTTGTTTCTTCTTCCTTTCTTTCAGCCTCTTCGTTTTTTTTTTCTTCTCTCGTTTCGTTTGTTGCCTTGTTGTTCTTTTTATTTTCTACTTCTTTCTTTTCGATGGTCGTTGTTTTGGGAAGTGATCGCGCGCTCAGACAAAACACCGTGCCATTGTTTATTGAAATTGAGCAGTAGAATATTAAGTCAATCACTGTCCGGTGTAAGCCTGGTGACAAAATCCTCCATTGATTGGACTGTCAATTAACTCTTTCGAGACATGTATACGTGCGTGCAAAGGCGTCTTATCTGATCCATCCTTCACTGTAACAGCGCTGAAATGTTTATAGAACTCCGAAGAATATGTGTCTAACTTGGCGTCATCGACTTTCAATTAAGTGACAAACACTTATTGCCGATTGATACTGTGAAATATACGATGATAATATTGGTTTCGTTTCGCAGCTTTCAAATGCCACGACGTCGCCGGATTGCACCAGCCACCAACGCCCAACATCGGATTTTCAAAGGTTAGTATCATTACCGCACTTTAATGAATGGCTTTACTAAATAAGTGGCCTAAACGCTCATCGAATAAGCGGACAAATTAAAAAAAAAACACACACACAACAAAATACAATCATCCCCCAAAATCTCATTACTGAAATGGAAAATAAAGATAATGCAATTCCTCCGACTCTGGATTCCGATGTGGAAGCTGGGGGGATTATCAGCGAGTAGGTAGGTGGATTACTGGATTCAATGGTAATGGTTATAGGTTAGAGTAATTGGTATTTGCTCGATGATGTGGATGCACAAGATGCGAGTCCATCGTGGGAATCAGTTAGAGTTGCGTTCGGTTCGGCTCTTAAATGAAACAATTACCCACTTGCGTGTTTGCATCACATTATTGAACCTTTCTCGCGAGCTATTTGTTTTATTTTTCTATACTTCATAAATTCATATTTCAGTTGATCCGCTCAGAAATTTAAATTTCACACGGTTTTGCTTCTTTTCTTCTTCTCCTCCTCTTTCTCTTCATCCTCATCCTCCTCCTTCTCCACCTCAACCACCTCCTTCTGTCCGAACTCCTTGCTCGCCTTGCGAGTCCTTTAGGCGCCGGACAACCCCCGTGCATTCGCCTACTCACTTTGACGATGCGAAATTAGCAGCTATTAATAAATACCTCCGCAAAACTGGCGCATTTCCAGCATTTCCCATAATGGGAACCCGCGATGCAATTTTGAAGCCCCCCACAAGAACGACAGCAGCGAGAACGGCACGACCCCGCCGCATTCATACGCTCCAAATTGCACGACGACTTCTTCCATTACTTCGCCTCCTCTCCACAATGCAACCAAAAGCAAAACGACGACAGCACCAACAAAACCCGAACAAACAAACGAACAACAACAACAAAACTAAAGAAAAATATGTACCCAACATTTCAAAAGATACCTAAGATCATCAGGATGGGCAAAACCAGACGAACTACTCGACCCCTTATAATTATTTTATAATCGGCTTAATTAAGACCTCGCCTTCTTCCATCTACCACACAAAAGGCTATCAATACATATGCACCAACATACCCATCTTAATATTAAACATATTAAGTCATCAACTTTAAACACATCAACAACCGTCTACATTAAGCAATTACTTTGATTTGTACAAATCATAAATAAATAATTATAAAAATACTACAAAAAATATAATTTTATACCGTTTCATACAAATTATAAAGTAAATTAGTATTATTTTTTCCTGTTAATCAAGATTTAAAATAATTAAAGTTTCTAGTATTTTTTAAGCGCTTCAAGTACAAATTACTAGTCAAGTACACTTTTAAAAGTAAACAAGCAGATATAGATAGTCATCTAATCTCTTAATCCTTTCATAAATACTCGTATTCAGTCATCATGTCTAATTAATGGAATGATAGCCATAAAGTAAATCTATAAATATTATACACCTTGGGCGAAAGCTCTGAATATTCAAGTGCCAAACGAAACCATCGTAAAGCTTGGAACGAACGTCCAACTGAGATTTAAAGCCAATTAATTAATTAAAGAAGTGCCTCATAACGATGCGATTAAATTTACTTTTATTGATTATAAAAGCATCTTCGGAGAAAAAAAAAATATCGTATCGATCTCTTCTGTTCTTACCTTTTTTTTGTCATATCATAGGTCATCAATAATATAACGAAATCATGTTTTATTTACACTTAATTCAAAATCTTGATCGTTACGTTGTTATGTTTTCCAAAGTCAAATAAACTCCGTTATTGCCCAATAACAGGATTCTATTGTTTATGGTCAATTGTCCAAATTGAATTTGGAAACAATTAATAAATCGTGAGGCTGCAAAATGAAATTCCTTCGTCACTTTTAAATTTCCTAGTAATTTATGAATGATTTTGAGGCAAGAATCGAAGCATACAGAGGGAATGGTTGTCGATTTAGATTTAAAGAGCATTCTCCGCGATGAAGTTTCTTACTTAAGACCAATGTGTAATACGGCTTCGAAAGTCTAGAAAAATGTTTAAGGTGTGGATAAAGAACGTTCCCTTGCATGAATGGATTAGGAACATTCTCTTGCGTAATTTTTTTCATTAATTTAATTTAACGTTACAGTTTCCGACGCCGTATCTCAACACCAAATCTCTACTGTTATTAATCTTTCTTTGTGACCGAAACATTGAACATTCATTTCACACATCACATTGACAACAACAAATCATTTTAAAGAGTCATCATAAAATTTACTTTTGAAATTAAACAAATTTAGTTATTAAATTAACTTTTTGGGAGTTTCAAAAGTTCTTTGGATTTACAATTGAAATCTAATTAAACAGAATAAATTAGTTTTTAATAAATTGAGTATTTGTAAAGAATAAAGTTTATATTATTGATAATTCAATAAATGTAAATGTAAATCATTGTAAAAGGTCTAGTAATATTTATATGTATACTTTAATTCTAAATATAAGGAGAGATAATTTAGTTAATCCAATTAGTTTGGAGTTTCGGACAAGTTTGGGGCGTGGATCTACAAGAAAAAAAAATGGATGTTATATAAATTTAATGTTGTTGTGTCGAATGTATATATCTATACATTTTGTGAGATTAAAAAAGGGAGTAAGTTGGAGTGGAGAAGGTGGAGGAGTACGATGAGGAGGAGGAGAGGCGAGTGTGAAGCCGGCGTACGGAGAATTATGTAGGAATTATAATTGGGGGTTACATAACGCCTGCAGAGGTCCGACGGTGCATAGAGAGTACGAGAACGGACAAAAAAAAAGGAGAAGAAGAGGATGAATATAAAAAAAGAGGAAGAAGGAACGATGATTGTTTGTTTGTCAGACGAGGGGCACGAGGTTTGGGCCCACGTCGATGATGACGGCCACCAGGGTCCGGGACCACGAATGGTACCTAAACCAATGGTACCTAATCGATACAGTTGCGTCGGTATCTGGATTGCTTCACCACATATTGCCATATTTAATGACAGACTAGAGTGCTCAGATGAAGAGCGTAGATATTGCGGGCGGGTCCGTGGGAAAGTAGCTGTGTACCCCTCGGCTTGAGGTCACGCGCTGACCCCGCTCTCCGAATCCCGCGCCCCTCACCTCTCAATACGGTACAAAGTATATGTCCGCGGCCCCAATACCCATGCCCATCTAATGCACCTATTCCAAACGGCGCACGGCCTGCACAACACCACCCCCGCGCCATCCAATTCATTCCACCGAAAAGTACTATCCACCGATCGAAGTATCATACCATATCTATATACTCTCCTTGTGAAGGCTCAAACGAATGAATCTAATTATAAACCGCAGCGAGACGAAGAAAAATAAATAATAATAATCTCTTGATCAATTATCGTATTAGTCATAACCAGGTAATTATATGTGAGTAATTTTGAAAAGATAATTAACCAGATATGATTGACATTGATGGTATGTTTATGTGTTCGACCAAAAGAGAAAAAAAATATATTTATACTTACAAAACGCGCACACTGAAATTATCGTTTGGATTGGTGCGGGGGGTTGGATGGTAACCTTGGTGGATGAGGAAAATCTTCGACACACCCTTCGAACGCCCATCCCCAAATGGGATGGAATCGGAGCGAGCGGTGGGCCTACGAACTTTTTTAATTTAATATTTATCTTTCCGAAAAGAGAATAATAAGATAAAGAGCGGCGAAAAATGTTTGTGTGTGTGTGTTTGTGTTTGTCTGTGTATGTGTATGTATGAAACGAAAAAAGAAAACGAACGAAATGATGAAGAGTTCGCTCCAGTCTTAAGATTGTAGAGACCGATAGAAGATCATTAAAGAATATATTACACTATGGGAGCATTACTTTACCACGGGTTTAGCGATACGACCGACCGCCGGTAATGGTATATATTTATACACATAGCCCGTGCTTTACTTGATTCTCATTACTTTCTTTATGTATAGAGAGTAGAGCCGTTGCGGCCAAAGTAATTAAAATATGACCGCTGCACCCACAACTCTCTCGGCTTGCGCAACGATTTTATTTAGTTCTTTTTTTATTATTATTATTTATACTTTTCACTCTCCGTCTCTCTTCCTCCCCATCGGCTAGAAGCTGTCGCTGTTATATACTCTTTTTTTTACTTCTTCTTATTTGCTCCATCTTCCAGCCTTCTACTTCTGCCTAAATAAACTGTTACCCATCCATCTTTGACGTACGTAAGGATTCATGTGTTTTGTTTCTCGTTATTCTCGTTACTTTCCTCCTCTATGTGCATAGCGTATAAATCGTTGGCGTCCATTAAAAGCCGCTCGATGGAAATAAATAAAATTAATTTGGCCTTTTCGGTGCGGATAAAAAGTGAAAGACACACGCGGATAGGTAGGTAGGTAGGTACGTACGTACGTTCGCCAAAGGTATTGGAGAGAAGTTCTCAAGAGCAAAGATCGCAATGGGTAACCTAGAAAAGCGCGAGATTTGTGCGCGATTGCAAATATTGTGAAATATAGCGAAGAAAACATCCCACATTCTATATGCTGTACCACGAAGATTAACATATTTAACGTCTTTCCCCGATGCATAATAAATTCCGAAATAACGACAATAATGTCTATATTTGCCTGCATTCAAAAGTGTTGTATTTACTGCCTTTTATGCGCGCCTTTTCCAAATGGCGAAAACCGAACAAGGCGAAAACAAATGCAGCCGCAATGGTAGACGAAGAAGTAGCAAAAGAACACGGCGATAACAAGAAAAAGGAAACGCCACAATTGATTGTCGGCCACGATTTCATTACTTCATTGTTTACTTTAAATGCCCAATTAATGCTCATAAATTTTATTCTTAAATCATTACAAACGCAAATCGACAATTCCCAGCAGCAAAAGCTTTAAACACCTAATCCTTTCAATAAACCGTCCCACTACTTTACACCTCTGTTCAATTAAAACCTACACTCATTCAATCACCGATTGAAAGCTTTAATTTACATACATCAACGATTTTCTCTTAAACAATATTTCATTATTAATAATAAATTAGTTAATTAATTTATATTGTTATAATAAGGAAAGTAAAAACTGTAATTAAATGCATAGAAAGTTATATGGTTTATATAATAAAATATACTAAAAATGAGATGTCATCTATCAGTGGATCAATATTCTTAATTGATTCCATGCGAGTTTTCGCTTAATTAATTTGATATTAAACGAACTTTACGTGCGTCTTTTTTTACTGCCATTATCCGTTGGCTTTTTTTTACATAAGTATGTGAAGGAAGCAGCATAAAGAAAACGTTTGATTTTGATTGATCGCGTTCAACGATTTCATTGCTTCATTGTTCAGAAACGGCTAATTAATTCCGAGTCCTGAATAAATCCAGCGGCTGCAGCAGTCCATCAATCTATTCATTTTATACCACAATGCATACAGGCCACATTCGGTGGGCAATTAGTGAGCGGTTTCAGTTATACAACAGCAGCATCGCAAGAAACGGCAACGGCAACAACAACAACAGCAACAAAAGGACAACGACAGTAACGAAGTGCGATGGAACACTTTTGGTCACCTCGGACAATTAAAACGTTATCGGAGTCCATTAGTGATAAAGGATATTGCGAACCATTAAAACATTCTTGCGTCGTTTTGTTTTACTGCCCGAAAATAACATAATAACGCGCTTATCTCTCCATTTTGCTTCTTTACTAAATAACTTTCGCTTCGTTTTACAACGCGATTATTGTTTATCGCCGACTAAAGGCGTGAGGAAGAACACGCTTTGATATGAGCTTTTATCTGTTTCAGGCGATGAGCGGCTTCTTGATGATGATGACGCAAAACGGCAAGCTTCTGTACATCTCGGACAACGCCGCTGAATATTTGGGCCATTCGATGGTGAGTGTTCTGAAGGTGAGCTTCCTGAAAGCTTCGAACTCATTTTTTTTCTTTACATTCTTATTTCCGAAAATCAGGAATTATATTCATCCGATATAAAATATTTGAAATATTGTTCATATATACTTCATTTGATCTACTAGTTTAAACGTAAAGAATAAGCCTTTTGTTCAGTAAAGACCGCTGAATATTTAGGCCATTGAATCGGGCTGGACGGTGAGTGATCTCAGAGGGAGAGCTTTCTGAAAGCTCCTTCGGAGCAGATAAAGAAACAAAAATCGACGAACCGGACGACGTCACACGTCAGTTTTAAAAGCCGGGGCTGGACGCCATCAACGCCGATGACTGCGCGCTTTTCCTCTTATTAACATGTTAACCATCTTTTGTGCGTGTCGTAAACGTAACGACGGCGACCAACAAAAAAAAAATAAAAATAAATCAAAATAAAACAACAACAACAACATGAAGAAGTGTTTATATTGTTGTGCGCTTCTCTGAAAGGGAACACAAATAAGGGCTTTCGGAGATTGTAATTGAAATGTAATTTGTTTGCGCAGGAGGATCTGCTTATACACGGAGACAGCGTCTACGACATCATCGACAAGCAGGATCATCAAGCCATCCAATGCGAGCTGGGACGGCCGGTGAATTCTGGAAATGGCGGTGGCGGCGGTGAAGAGGTGCGGCTGTTCCTGTGCAGGATGAACGTGTCTAGAAATGCCAGGAGGCAGATGAGATTCGGAGACCAAAAGGTAAGCAAACGACGAAAAATAATAAATAAATTGAATTAAAATTTAAAAAATGGGCGAAGAATGGGAATATACGCGGACGCGGATGTTTAATCTGTTAAGAGCGTATTCGTTGCCGGATCTGCCTTTCACTGGTATCGTAACCTCAGCTCAACTGCCGTTTTCCCCCCTCACCGCGCCGATTCTATTCCAAGCAGCTACGAATCCACCCACACCTTAAGCTTAGCACCGGGGAATTTATCTAAATACAAGTTGCACATTTACAATGCAACACGTATTACTGTTTATTATTGTTATCGTTATTTGTTGGTAGAAGGCAGTATGTAGCGGCTGCATATATTAGGAATACATCTCGCTTCGAAGAAAGGCCAATGCCTATTCCTAGGTGGGGGTTGTGGGAAAGGGTTTCTAAAGACAAAAGAAGAGCATGATGGTTCCTACCATCTAGATCGGGAGTTAATTGGATTTGGCATAGGTGGCCGTGGAAAGAATGGGTTTCTGGTTTCGGTTTTGCGAACGGAATGCATTGAAAGTATAGAGACGACGACGATGGAGAAGAAGAACTCCGGATGGTTTATGGGTTGGCGTAGAGGTAATATGTAAAGTAGGTGGAGGCGAGAGCAGTGTGTTATGACGCCCACTCTGCAGCTTATGGAAATGACTCTCATTGGAATACCAAAGCGCCACTGCAACTGCAACTGCCACCGTTCCATGTTGACCGTTTGTTAATATGGTTATCTGTTCGCAGGTGGTATTGGTTCAGGGTCGGTATCTGTCGTTCCTTCCACTCTGCAGCCGCAACGAGCCCGTCTTCTTGGCGACCTGCACTCCTGTCGCGATGCCCGAAACGAGAGAGTGCGTCGTCCAGGGCGCCACCAACGTCTTCACCTCTATCCATTCCATGGACATGCGATTTATTCACATAGACAACAAGTGAGTATACTCTTGAGCATGGGAATAGAATCTTTGTGTCTTTCGCTGGAACGGTTAGGCTCTGCGCGCTGGCCGTATAAATCAAGCGTTTGCTCGTGATACTGGGGCGGTCCCGGCTCGGTCCAGGTCACCGGGTCATCCTGGGACTGCCTCGGTACGGTGACATTGCTCGCTATAAATCACAATGATTGCTGTTACACTTGTGTATTGCAGCGGTGAATTCTACTTGGGCTTTTCGCGAGAAGACCTACAGGGGGTATCCTGGTACCGACTGCTGCATTGGGAATGTACGAGAGAAGCGCAGACTAAACATAGATTAAGTAAGTACAGTAAAAATGAAACAACAACAACAACCACCACCAACCACATTACAACAATACTAATCATCTATTCTGGCATTGCAGTTACTCAATCGGAACAGGAACGCTCGTGCATTCTGCTAGCGCAGTTCCAGCGGAGATCGGGCGATTGGATCTGGATGCATTGCGTTCTGCAAGTGAAGGAAAGCTCGGAAAGCAACCAACAACCCGTCATCGTTTGCACCAACCAAGTACTTAGCGAGGCCGAAGCTTTGGTGATGAAAACCAATAGTTGGCTCTACCATTACTATTCCGTCCAAAACAAATTGCAATATGGATTGGCCTACGATGTAGGACCTCCGACGCGTCTCCTTTACTACCCCGAACATCCTCAAGGGACGGACTTTGGTACTTCGCATGAAGCTTCCGCCTACACTCATCTATCCTCCATGCCTACTACACATAACATCACGCACCTGACCCATCATACAGGTCCGACTCAGGCGCACCACGGCCAGCATCATCATCACCATAGAAGAGCCGGCGACTCAGAGCCAGTTGACTACTCCTACAGCAAACGCAAACCCAAGGACCTCCAAAATCTAGAACTGGAGGTTACGGATGTCGAGACGTCCGCAGATATGAACGGAGGACGCGGTAGTGGCAGTGGCGGCGGTTTACTGGTCGTATCGCACATGACGGAAAGGCCGCCGCGGACGTTGTTAAAGATCGATCCAAGTGACTTAATGGATCAATGGAATCCGAGCCCGCCGTGGTCCGACACTCTTCAAAAGGTTCCCGATCTGTGCCATCAAGAACTAAGCCCTTACATAGGCAGTGCACCACCAACACCAACAGCGACGCCTAGCACTCATCATGCGGGAAGTGCATTCTCCTTCGACTGGATGCCGGAGCAGTATGTCCCCACACTGTCCGCTGCCAATATCTTAGCACCTGTCGAAGATGTTGATAGACAGAACTACTGGCCATCAACAGAACATCGCCTGTTTCCTCTGCAGCCGCCGCCGAAGCGCAACCAGCCACCACCTGGACGTTCGGAATCTGCGGATCGCGACACTCCTTAGCATATTGACACCTAGCATATTACTATTAGTGCAATATTACTAGCTAATAATGCAAAGACTTTAGGGTCCCACACTTAGGAGCACAATTACTTTAGTTTAATTTGAACTCAATCTCTTTCCTGTGGACAGAAGCTACCAAATGATTCCTACTATTAATTGTGTTCATCCAGTGACCAACAAGCAAAAAAGTAAACAATCAAAACATAAATAATAAAGAAAACACACATGCAGATGGTTCCTTCAAAATAACATATTGCATAACTGATGTGGTAAGAACCGTTTTGTGATAGATCAGCAACTAAACCACAGCAAAACATCGGAAAAAAAAACGCAAAAGCAAACAAACATATGACGTATACAGCTGATTGTAATTAAGTTCCTGTAATTTCTAAGAGCATAACTACTACACACATCTACACTAAAAAACACAATACACTTACAACAGACAGAACATTCCCTTATTTATGCAAAAAGATTTTAGGTATTGACGTTCCGAGGGATAGTCAATGAAATCCAAGTATTATTTAAGTTTCTTAAAGTTAATTCAGTGTTTCCCATGTTCTTTTTTACAATACGGAAAATCGGAAACACTGCGTTAATTTATACCATACACGTACATGTTATAATGAAATTCTTTCATGGCTAGTAGAATCTCGATTATTAAATAGGTAAATCTCATGATTCAAATATACAAAGTAGTACAAGAAGACATTCATTATTTGTTATTATTTACGCATTGCTATCATAATTAAAGCCATTTTGGTTTAAAAATTCACGGAACAGTTTCCTACCTTGTAATATTCGATTATGAGTAAATTGCACTTTTTAAAGTTTTATTACAAACTTCTGGCCAGATACATTTAAAACGAGCCGAAAGGAAAGTAAAAAAAACTTGTTATAACATAAATGGTTTATTGTAATTCGCCAGCCAGGATAATAAAAAATATATTTAGTTTAATAAATAATTATTAGAACTATATGGACGTTATCTTTCAGAATATATTTAATCGAGATTATACTACGAGTATAAAGTTATAATTTTAAGAGAACACTTTTATAGTTGAACACAGTTCAACATTAGGCATGTAAATGTATCAGTATTATGTTTTTTTTTTTTAATTATTATTTTTTTTAAATAACTTTTTGTGTGAAAAAATATTTATTATTCTTAAAATTTAAATAAAAAAGTATATATTTCAGAAATACTGCTATTTCAATCAATATATTTTTATTTTTCTTAAAAAAAAATTTGAATTATATAATTTGACTAGGGTAGTATTTTTTGAATATAAGTTTCGTTATAGCGCGACTGGCAAAACTTATTTCGTTATATCACTAGTGTGCTGTGGTACCTGAAACAAAATCGAATCGGTATCAACGTTCGCGTTATGATTGTTTATTACACTGCATTATTGTTTATAGTGTCGCCGAGCGTGCCTCATCGTCTTTTGTGAATTTTCGTCAAAAGTAAGTACTTCTAATTAGAAATTTATTGGATTATCAAGCTATTAACTTTGAAAATTGTAAACTCTAAACTTCAGAAATGTCTAAACTGAAAACATTATAAGTTGTTTGGTTGCTTTGAAAATGTATTTATCCGACTGTAAATTCCTCGTTATTCCTACTTTTATGGTTATTTATATGATAAACCTAATTAAAACTTACTAAGATTTAAAATATAATTGTCCAACAAAAGTTTTTCAAAGTCCCTTGTCATAAAAAGTTTAAACAGTTTTTGAAATTTTATGGCCCGTTTCAGTTTAATATCCACCGGAAATATTTCATCCATGTATAAACTCATTAATCTTAACTAAAATATAACTGTATAATATTAAAACATTGAACAGAAGTCCATATATTTACCGGGCTGAAGTTTATATATCCTAACCTTAAAAAAAATATATATAATATAGTTGCTGTTATAACAAATATATCATTATTACCTACATGTATAATGATTCCAATTTGCTTGTGTTCCTTTGTGCAAACAGATATCCAGTGTAAAGCTGGAGTGCCACTTCTCGTGTAGTGATTAATCTCAAAAAGAGTTGATCATCTAACGAGGCACTGAGAAATAAAACAACCTTTAATTCAATTTGAAATTGGTTAAACAGTTAATGAATACGCATAATATTTACGTTTAAAATGGTATCCCCGTCATTTGAAGCAATTGCTTCATCAAGCAGTTTAAGCTTCTGCGTACTACTTCTGTGGTCTGCAAGAACCACTACCCACTTGTGTAGCATTTTATTTAATGCAGATTCATTTATTTTGGGAGTTTCTTTAGCAAACTGTAAATCATCTAGCACTAAAATTTAGCCATGAAATACATAAATTTAGTTGCATCTTTTAATATACCAATATCCAAATTGTCAGTGCTTAACAACTCTTCTATCGGCAACACAGCTCTATGGAGTTTCGGTTGGAAGATAACATCATTGTGTAATTTATCTTCACTTAAAATCTGAAACAAAAAATTTAATAAAATGATCTTTATGTAATATTTAAATCATTATATACTGGGTCATCGTCAAATTGAAAGCTTGTTCCAGCTGAAGCATTCCAATAGTCCTCAGAAGACATAATTATTTATTTCTTTTTTCAGTGTTCGGGGGAGGTCCTCCACAAAATCCTGGTGAAGAAGATGAAGGTGACATTTTTCCAACTCAAAGTAATTAAAAAACTATAATAAATAGATCACAACTGATTTTTTTTTAGATCCATTTAGCTCGTCTGCAGTGGTCCCAGGAAACCCACCTTTTACTTTTGGCATTGCCCCTGGACAGCCTCCAAAACGACAAATGACAACTCACTCCCATATGATATTCCCGGCAATACCGATATTCAGCAATTCACCCCTATTCCCTGTACAACCAACAACAACAGCAACTCCTATTTCCTTTGCCCCTGCCCCTTTTGTTTCAGCACCGTTCCCACCACCACCATTCTTTCCAAGATCTGACACAACAAGATTGGGCAACAGTGAAACACCAAAGAAAACACATTTCAACTTTACTATTGGTGGAGGAAGTGTTTCAAGACAAAGTCGAATTGGAGGACCTCGGAAGACAAGTCATGTGAATAGTCCTATAAGAAGAGCTAGGGACCATGCTCCTGTTCGCACCCCAATCAACCCACCGACACCAAAGCCTAGTAGTCATAATCTTGATGCAAAGAGTAGTACCAGCATGCAAACTCTTTCATCGAGTTCGCAGGAAAGCCTTATGGACTCTGATGTAATATTAGATCTTTGTAGCGTCTCACAAACAGGTAAATAAATCAATCACTTACAAGATAGGACGTATGGATATTGCACGTCAAATTGGATTTGATAGGTTGTCAAATTCTCTCCTCTTGGACGTTCTGTTTCCGTGAGATTGCGCATACGAATAATATTCTGGGCTGAATATCAAACAATCTTTAGATAGTATAATATATAGAATACATTAACAAAAACAATTACTAAACTTAAGTGTAAGTGCTATTGATTACCAGACACCTACAGACATCTTTGTCCACCTAAGTCGCCAGCTGGGCAAGTTTTTAATCAGCATTTATGGGAAATATATCCATGTATCACAAAAAAACATTTTAACACAAAAAAAAGCACCATAATAATACTAATTTGAAATAAATCAATTTATTAAATGAAAAATAGAAGGCTCTGTTTTTCTATGCAATACACATATCACTTAGAAATCAATATAAATTAAATCAGAATTAAAAAAAAATTAAAATAGTTTATCATGTTATTTTTATATATTTATTTTGTAGCTTTAGTTAGTTAACAGTAAAATTGTAAAAGTAATTATTGCTGAACAACTTTGCTTAGATTATCATGGGATTAGTTTGAACCTGGGTTTATTCCTGTGAGTTTGGTTCGTGCTATTTACGCTTGAGGTATGCTTTTTTAGTACCAGTATACGCCATATGCGTTAAACAAATGCCATAACCTATAATGGCATATCTCACATGAATTATCAGTTCGTTTTTATCGTATCAGTTTTTACAAAAAATATCGGTTATATTTTTACAGTGTAACAATTGTTATTCATTTTACAAAGTAGTTTTTACAAAGTTTAGTGGACGTATCAATTTAATATTTTAATATCGAAAATGTTTGCCCCTGCAAATAGAGCTCCATTTGGGGCGAGCCCTACTACTTTTGGTATGTTATTAGCGGTAAGAAACTAATTGTATATAATTGTTGTTTATTCAGGCTTCAACGCACCGACCAACCCAAATCCATTTGGTCAACAAACACAAATGTTTGGTACAGCAAATGCAACATTTGGAGCTGCAACACCAGCCTTTGGTCAGACTGCAGCTCCAATGTTTGGTGCCACACAGCAGCAACAACAACAGCAGCCATTGTTTGGAAACACAACAGCACCAGCCTTTGGATCAAACATTCAAAACACCTTTGGTAAATAGGCATATATATGATTATGAAATGTTGTGCAATCGGATATATTTTAGGTCAAAACACTACCCTATTTGGACAAAATCAAAACCCACCTGCAGCAAATTTGTTTGGCACTACTAACAATGCATTTGGACAGCAAAGTAAATCCAGTGGATTTAGTTTTAATGCTCCTCAGCCTAGTGGAATGTTTGGGCAAGCCCAACAGCCAGCCCAGCAGACCAACATGTTTCAACCATCTACGTCAACAAACATGTTTGGTGCATCTAGCTTTGGAGGACAGACTCAGCAAACTGGTACACCCATAAAGTTCACACCAGTTACCAGCACTGATTCCATGCAAAAAGGAGGTAGTTCCACCATGATCCAAACCAAACACCATAGTATTACCTGTATGAAGGAATATGAAGGGAAATCATTTGAAGAGTTGAGATGTGAAGATTATTCAGTAAACAGAAAGGGTCCACAGCCAGCATCAGGTTTCACAAGTGCTCCTGCTTTTGGAACTGTGGTATCATCTGCACCTTCACTCTTTGGACAACCTGAAAACAAACCAGCCTTTGGACAATCTAATACATTTGGACAAACCACTGCTTTTGGAACTAACCAGCCCAGCACTAGTGCTGGAGTGTTTGGTAAACCAGCAACAGGTTTTGGCCCTACTACAACTGCCAGTTCATTTGGAGCATTTACTAGCACAGCATCTGCAAACGTCTTTGGAGCGCCAGCAGCATCTAAATCATTTGGAGTACAGAGCACACCATCTCTTTTTGGCCAGCAGTCAACTAGTGGTTTTGGTAGCACACCGTTTTTCGGGCAAGCTTCAACGCAACAGGTACGAGTATGATTTAATTGACATTTTATTTTGATTTTCATTAATTGTAGAGTATGTTTAACAAAACTTCTCAGCCTGGATTTCAAACTTCTCAGCCAGCGGCTTTCTCTTTTGGACAGACACCTGCCTCAACCACCAATTCATTATTTCAACCATCAAAACCTAGTACTGGTTTTAGCTTGTTTAATCAAAATACTACAACAACTGCAGGGTTTGGCCAACAACCAACTTCTGGATTTACAGGATTTAGTAGCTTCTCTAAACCTGCTCAGACTTTTGGTCAGCCAGCGCAAACGGGATTCTCAAGTCAGTTTATTCATAGTTGGTAATTGAAATACAAATCTTAATTTATATTTTTACTTATTTACAGATATGCAAGGAGGTACTTTATTTGGAAATAACGCAGCAAAACCTACGTTTGGTAATCAATCGCTAAATCTTTTTAATAATATGCAACCAACAAACAACTTTTCTCTTCAACCTCAACAAGCGCAACAACAAATGTAATATGAACACAATGAAAACATTTAAAAAAAAATATTAAATCTTTGCTTTTTTAGTGGGCTTGGTACTCAATCACAAGCAGATGATGTTCGAAATATGTTCAATATGATTGAACCATATGGATTTGCTCCTCATTTAGATGGTTTAAAGTGTATGAGCCCTTCTGATACACATTACACTACAAATCCTAAAGATATTGATAATGTTTTAAAAGCACAAGACAAAAATCCGACTTCATCTCCCGTTATTAAGAAAGTTAAAGTTACGTCTCCACCGCCACAAAATAAAGTGAGTCATTAAACTTTTTTAAATGTGTTTACCTATAACTATTGTTTTTTTTTCTCTTTGCAGTGGTCTGAATTTGAAACTGCATATGAAGAAGAACCAGATTATAATAGCATCAACTTTAAAATTAATAATAGTACCAAGAAGCTTCACCTAAAGGGTGGACCATTAAAGAAACCTGAACCGTTAGTCGTGTTCAATGAAGGGCAAATTTCTGGTGGTGATACTAGTACATCGAATGCATATGCCTCTCTACCATCTGCGTTCAAAACTCCCAGTCCAGAATGTTCAACAGAAATTCCTGCAGCCGATAAGTCATCAATGACAGAGAAGGATGTCTCTGGTAAGATTGACGTAAACTTTCCAAAACATATCTAACATGACTATTGTAGTTTCAGTGAAAGACGTTCAAACGGAGCCCAGACGATCTAAATCTAAGAGCCCAGAACCTACACCATATACTGGAACTAATAACTTAAGTATCAGTTCCACCAGCACTGCTGATACTAGTTCTTCTAAAAAGCCATCAATTGATACATGTGGAATTACTTGCACTCGTCCGGAATATTATACTATTCCGCCACTGGACAAAATCGCTCAATATAAGAATTCAGATGGATCATGTATGATCAAAGGCTTCACCATTGGAAGAATTGGATATGGAAATGTATTCTTTCCGGATATCATGGATGTTTCTAATTTGAATATAGATAAGCTAGTGCATTTCCGTTACAAGGAGGTTTCTATTTACGGAGAGAACGACGATAAACCACCGATCGGCGAAGGACTGAACAGAAGGGCACAGGTTACTTTAGATAGGGTATATCCAAAGAGAGAAACGAACAAAGACGAATTTGAAACTGATCCAGATACGCTTATTGCTGACAACTTCGGTGAAGTACTGAGGATGGCATCTAGCAGATTGAGTTCGTCTTTTGTGGATTACCGTCCGGAAACTGGCTCTTGGGTATTCAACGTCGAGCACTTCTCTAAGTACGGTTTATCAGACTTGGAAGAGCAGCAATATAGAGATGAATTAAAAAAGAAGCAGTCTCAGAAGGAAAAGGATGATAAAGAAGCTGAGAAGCGCAAGGAAAATGAAAATAAAGAAAATGTACAAGTGGCCAAACATAGAGGTCTTGGTGGCATGCCTTTAGAAGAAAGTAAACCAACATATACATCTCCCTATGAATTAGCACCTGCAACAAGTACAACAAGACAGCACATTGATCTTACATCTACTCTTATGGATTATGAAACAAGCAGACATGATCCTGGAATGAGTATGATGATGAACACCTTTGTTGATGACAATTTTGCAAGCGGCGATAAAGTGAAACAAATGGATGTGTACTTCGACGATGTTCCACAGAAAATCATTTTAGAAAAAATCGAGAAACCACGAGTTAAGGTTCCAAGACCGAATCTTTATAAATTAACCAACACTACAGGTAAATTTTTTTTTTTACTATTATAGTTTATATTATACTTTTTTTTTTGTTTGGTAGTTCGTGTCCCAATCAACAGGTCCATGATACCATCTAAGGGGATAATGGATGCAGCAATTTTTAAAGGACGCAGTTTTAAGGTAGGATGGTCAAGAGGATTTACGATTGCTGCATTAGGTAACTCGAACATTACCAGAGTTGGTGACTTCGAAGAGTTATTTATGCCCAATACCGTGACTTTGCTGACTGTTTCTGATACGTGCAAAGAACTAAACAAACGTGGTAACTTTGATCCATTCTTGGATACCCTCGATGATTATATGAACCTGATCCTTAGCGACGTATCTTTCTCCGATTCCAGTATTCCCCTTGTAAAAATAAACATTAGCGGAAACGTATTGTTCAACATGGAGTTATTTGCTAAGAAACACTCGAAATCGAATAGGGATAACAAATATATGGAATATTATAAACATATTTGGGGTTTGTGTATGGCGTTTTGGGGCAAATGTGATCCAAAGGAATCCTATACGACCAGAAGAATAATGTTCCAATCGTGGTTGGAAGCTGTCACGTCTGAATTGGTTAGGCACGACATGGCGAAGTATGGAATATTCAATGATGCAGAGACGGCATTAAAGAAGATTCTATCTTTGCTTTCTGGTCATCAAATAAAGAGAGCTGCAGAAATGGCATTTCAGAGAAACTATCCTCAACTAGGTATGTTGATTTCACAGTTGGCCGCTGGAAATACAACAAAGTATTGTACAAGATATCAAATACAGTTGTGGAACGATAATACTTCGATTGAACACATTGAAGAAGACGTGTTGAAATTGTATCTCCTGGCGTGTGGTGCTCCCATGTATAATGATGTTAATGTTTGTGAGAATATGGATTGGTTAAGAACACTAGGTGTTTACTTTTGGTATATAACGCCAAGCTCGAAACCTGTTACTCATGCTATTCAGATGTACGAAGAAGCCTTTAACACTACCACATATGCAGAGAAACCTATAACAGCGTTAGGCGACGAACTCACTTGGGATATTATGTTTTTCATTATGAAATTATACTGTAACCCTCTCAGCGATTTAAGCCAGTTGTTGAAACCTTCGACTCATTCTGGAGACTCCACAGATTATAGAATGAGGTAATTTTTGTCTTGACAAGTAAGTTGCAAATCTAATAGCTTTCTTTCTTTTTCAGCTGGTTACTTTTACAAACATTTGAATCGCTAGGTGTGGGTTTGATTAGCGAACAAGCTAAACTTCATATAACCACCATATTTTCTACTCAATTAGAGCAATTGGGCATGTATAAATGGGCTATATTCGTATTGATGTTCATACCCGACGTTACTGTAAGGAAGAACTTGGTGATGGGAGTGCTCGATAGAAACCTGAGCGAAGAATCTGAAGATACAGAACGGGATATAGTCTTGAAGTTAAAAATCCCCATCAAGTGGCTGCACCAGGTCAAGGCGGTTAAATGCGAGCAACTGGGTAGATACTGGCTTTCATACAAACATTTGGCCCACTCACAAATGTGGCGAGAAGCGCACGACTTCATCTTTAAGCATATACTTCCAAACTTGATCTGTAATCATGATTTTGAACTACTCCGCGATATCCTGCACGAGATCTCCGCTGGCAGCGGCCAAATTTATCGCTGGAAGAACCGGGGAGGCCTTCTCATAGAATTCATCAACGTCTGGACATTTTTGCAACAAAAGAAAAAGGATATGCGGGTCGTCGATCTGAAGAAACTGCAGAACCAAGTGATGTACATAGTCACACGCCTGAAAAGTTTTCCTTCGTCAAAGCCTTTTGAAGTGATGATCATCTCTGAAATCTCCAAGTTTTGTTCAACATTTAATTACTCCATCCTAAAACAGTTGCCTTACGACAGCCAAACACTACTGCGTCAGTCCTCCGACTTTATTCAACAGCTCGTTATGCCGTTCGATTATAAATTCGAGGAAATTAATAAATCTGTTTGTGTTATGTACAAATAGTTACAATATCCATTTCACATTTAATATTATAACTTACATATTAATTTTTGTTTTTGTTTATTTAGTACTTATTTTTCTTATCCATCTATGTATTCTATCTACTAAGAGATAATTGTTTATGTTCTTTTAAATAAATGATAATACCGAATTACATTTCGCAGGAAAAGTCTTAGCTGTATATTTTTTTTCTTACAGGATGATGCGAAATGGGTCAAGGACGTTTCCTCGCTTCAACAGCGAAACGTTTGATTACCGCACCAATATTTCCGTAAATATATAATAAAAAAAAACTATTTTACTAAAAGAAAACATTATTTAAAATTATTAATTTGTTTACCAGATGATATTTTTGATATACCTTCGTCTATGACTTAACCATTAAATGTATATATTTTTTGCTGAGTTGGACATTTTGCTTACACATTTTCTTTGTATACTTTCAATTTGTTTGTGTGCATTAGTAGTACAGTTTTACTATTAATTTTATTCTGTATGTATTTGCTTATTATTGTAATAAATATTGATACTTTATATTATTTTCTACCTTTGAACCACGCAAATCATAATTTTTACAATTACAGATTTTAATAACAAAGTATAATTAAACAATTTATTAAAGTTATTATATTTTACAAATAAATTAATTTTTATCATCCAATTTGCGTATAAGCACTTTTCACTTTAATGATTAATTTGAAATCAAATTTCTTTATGACGTGGTTTCGGTGAACGGGATTTTAATTACATGTTCCCCGATATTTTGGTTCATGAGAAGCAGCAAACTGGTTCTTGTATATGCGTATACATACATATATCTATCTTGCTATATATATACGATGTTTATTTTTTCCCGTTATTACATTGCATGAGATTGCTTTCCAGTTCATGATTCTTGTTTAATATTACATTTTTATCTTGTTTTACATTCATATTGTTCTTCAACGCTAACAAAATATTTCTTTAAGAACGAAAACGTGTTTATTATTTAATTTAAAGTGATTGTTCGGAATCTGATCAATGGGTTATTAACTATTTTATTTACTTAAGGTTTGTAAATAAAATAGATGAATTTAATTGTCTGCTTTTATTTATTAATTGGATTCAACAGAATGTTCTATTAATTTGTTTGTTATTATTCAGTGGAGTAAATTGCTATTGTTTGTTGATGTTTCTAACTTGTTTGTCACTGGAATGCATTTAAATGCCGCGATTTAATAGAAAGTGGGTACGTTGAAAATAAAAACGCAATGTTTGTTTTTAATAATGTATTTTTTTCTATGCGTCGTTTTGCATTGGAATGTGAAGGATTTGGTCAATTAATACAGTAATTTGTGTACGAGGATAGAAAGTGGGAATGGATGAAATTGGCTGCACGGGGAGGGGAGAAGGGTTAGAAGTGTGTGACCCATTGACACAATCTCGGGATTCTGTGTGGAGCAAGCAGTGACTTTCACCGACCTTTTGGTTCGGCGCGTTGGAGGTCTTCGCCTGAGAGGTCGTCGGAGTTGAGTCGAGCGCAGAGCGACTAGCCGGACAAGTTCGGTGTTATTGATGAGGCCCGCACTGGATCAGCCACCTCGGGCTAGAGTCGCGAGCAGTACCTGGTGTTGGTGCCTAGTCGGTACCAGAGCGGACGAAGAGACGCGGGCCTTCACGAGGTCAGGTGTTTGAAGTGGGGCTCCGTGGGAGGCAGGCACAGTTGTTTACAATCACTGCGAGTGTCATCTGCACGACGAATTCAGAATGCCGACCGGGGTAAGCAAACAGTGGGTTGTAGTGGTGTTGATGGTAGTTTTTGATGTAACCAACGAGGGTAGAAGAGGGACGTCCAACGAAGGACCAGCGGCCTCCAAGCAGCAGGAATTTGAGCATTCCAGCAGCATGGTACCGTTAGGAGCGAGTTCGCCTCGGCCTCGGTTTCGGATGCCGCTACTCATGTGTGCAAAGTGATCTCAATTATATTGGATTGCCTGTCGAACTGTGTCGCCGGTGGTTGTTTTGGATGCTTCCTTCGCAATTAGCGATTCCACGACTTTCTAGTAAAAGTCCCACCGGGTCTGACTGCTGCCTACTTTCGGTGCATCTCGCGAAACCCACCTAGGTGCTAGATGGATGCGACATGCCAGTACGAAAATCGTTTTCGCTCGATACGATCGGTGCGGTGGAGCATTACGAGCGCGCGGTTTTCCGCCGTGCATGTACAGTTTGAAATCGGTTTGAGGCAGTGGGTCACTAGGTTCAATAAGATACAATCATCCTCGAGCATCTATTTGTGTTCCAGTTATGAGCGCAACAGTTAGATTCACATTAAAGTGTTTAGGGAAGTCAGTAATTATATGTAATCGCAACCTCGTTCTTTGCTTGCAGATCAACTGAGGAATTAGCTAAACAAAACAAAGAGACGAACTGGCCAGAAGATGGATGTGACTGAAACCCAACCGTCGAACGGTTTCCTCGGTGATGGCAACAGCGAGTTCGTCACTGTCGTTTCCGTAGGGACCACCGAGCATATCAACCCTCCAGAAGATGTATCAAGCACCGGCTACGTAACGGTTTTGACCATAGGCGAGGACGAGTCTCGCGAGAAGATTGAAGAAGTGTTAGTGTACAGACTACCCGGGGAACGGTTGGGTTTTGGCCTGAAATTTGAGGGTGGCACCAAAGCTGCTGAATTTGTGAAACGTCTCTTTATACAGTCGTGCGCGCCTGATAGTCCTGCATCGCGCGTTCGCAGCTCCTGGGGTTCCTTAACCGAAGGCGATGAAGTGCTGGAGATTGACTCCTTTCCAGTGAAATCAATGACTCGTATAGACTGCGTCAGGTGTCTGAAGGACTCCAATGTTGTAATAAAATTATTAGTTAAACATAACGAAACAGTTAAGCTCGCAAGATCCACGGAGGATTTGCCTTTAGTTATAAGTGCTGAGAAAAAGCGGACGCCTCCGCCGCCACCACCAGTGCCGCCCAGGAAGATCCCCAGGAGGTTGTCAAAAGAGAATATTGTGGTTAATCAAGAACCTCCAGTACCATCGACCCGCGTTGACGTTAAGAACCGTAGCAGCACGCGCATTCCCCAACCTGAAGTTCACAAAAGAGATCGTAAGCTATCGGATGGAAGCAACGGTCCACCAGATGCAGAGCTGTACGTCGACCTGTTCTCGCAAGAATCTCCTTACTGCCTAAGCGAATCAGACGATACAGGAAGCTCGATATCCACCGTCGTCGATCGTTTCAGCTCCTTTCCGACGACGACGACATCCAGCTTCGCCGGAAGCTTGCCATCAACACCAACAGCGATACAGAAGCAGCTCGACCTTTCAAAAGTTTTCTATCCGTTCGAGAGTGATGACACCGAAGATAACTATCTGTTCAGCAAGCTGATTTCGCTGCAATCCACCGACGAAACTGATTTCATCGAAGAGCCTCCGATAGAGAAAGTTGAGAAACCGGAAGTTTCGCCACTTCAACCTCCTGCTAACTTCCAGGACGCTCCTTTGAGCTACGGTGATGAAGACGTGCGTGCTATGGAAGCTCCAATTTTAAACGAAATGAAACCTAAAACTGCCGAGGATGTGGAGAGGCGACGACCGCCACCGCCTCCTCCTAGAACCAAGCACCAGAGCATCAAGGAGAAGAACAACAACGATTATGAAACGAAAAATGAGTATGTAGAGAATCTGCCGCGACTGGTGGATTTCGTGCCTAAGTCTTCTAAAGCTGAAACTTACGAAACGATAAGGAAATTTTTGGAGAACGAGCAGAGATCTTCTTCGAGCTACCACTACGATAAGGACAACTACCATTGGGGCCACGAGATGTACACCTATAACTGGATGCCGTCCACGCAGCTTGCCACGATCGGGGAGGACGAGGAGGAATCTCTTATCGAACGGTAAATCCATGACCATTTCACCGGCGCGAACGTACCATCATCATTTATGCAGCGGTTCCCGTTACACCGCACAATGTGCATCCGATTCAGTTTCCTCTCGATTATTTTGCATTATTTAAGCATTTTCGGGAATGCTGCGCTCCGTTACCACGGATCTTGGTAACCGCTGTTGCGCCAAAGCAAGAGAATAATATATTATAAAAATGGCTTGATATAAAAAAAAATATCCACAGATCAGTAGAGTACAAGTCGAACGAGAAATCTGGAACACTACTGTTTGTCGTTTCGGGCGATCCGTGAGAAATGCGCCGCGCAGTCCGCAGAATTCCAGCGCGTCCACGTCGCGATTACGTAAGGCGCTCTTAATTTCGCATGCAATTAAGAATATGGAGAGAAAAAAAAATCATACATGCGACGCAGAGCAACAGCAAAAATAAAGAAAAGAACGTAATGGTAAAGAACGCGAGAGGTTAAGATAGAGATGGCAGGAGGCAAAAGGAAAGAGAGAGGAATGAAGAAAAAAGAGGTAATGCCATAAATGGCATAAGGCTGAAAGCAAAGCGAGCGGGCAACAAATCACTAGGCGGGGCAACGAAAATGCAATAATAAATGAGTGGATTGCAAAATCCTTGAAACGCAGAAGAGAAAAAGGACGACGACGTAACAGCAACAACAACTCCAACCCAATAAGGTGTTCAGAAAATTACGAACATATGAACACCAGATTTGGTAGTTAAATGTTTAATAATCAAGATTGATTAAGCTTCGAAGTGTATCGACTTTGAAATGTCAAAAGTTTTAGGATTATATTTCTTGCGCAAAGTCGTGTCTCTCTATCTGCATATTATTATTATTATATTTTTTTTTTACTTATTTTCATCTCTTTGAAGCATTCATGAATTAACAATTCGTATAGTTTTAAAACATTTTAAATATCCATAAGGTTTTCGACTTTCGAGCTCGCTTTTTCTGTCCTTGACATTTCCGCGCGAGAGCAATTCCCATTGGTATAAATTATGAAAATATTCATCACGGCATAGCTATGTGCGACAACTGGACCGAAAATATCTGGTTTCAAAAATATTTCTACTGTTGTTCTGTTGCAAAACCGACGGTGCAATAAACTCAGGAAAACCCATTTCTTCATTCACAATTCCTCGTTAATTGAGATTGCTATTTCACCTTTTTTTTTTCATGCCTGCGAACGAAAAGAAAAGCGCAATAGTAAAACCCGCAGGGGAACAAGGCGAGATGAGAAAAAAAAACAAAAGAGAAAATATTTTTCGCGCGAAAAGTTTCCGGGTTCGTCGTTTGTGCGAACGTCGATATCTCCGCGATTTTACAACGCGCATAAACACTAACACCGCTCCCATTCTTTAATTTATTATCACAAATACTCAATGAAACTTTAAAAAACATTTATATAATAATATTTAAACTGAAAAAAAAATCTATTTCGATTTTATAGGCCTAAAATCTTAAAATGTGCCCACGAAGGTTGGGAGGTTGAGAAACGATACTTCGGTCATCATTTTTTAATCAGAAAATATTTGAATTGGAAACATTTGACTGGGGCATTTTGGATCTGAAATTATAGTTTTTGAAAAAAAATCATTAAAATGAGAAGAGACTGCTTTTTCGAGCAAAAATTTTATTTTTGAAAGCGAATTACATCCAAATGGAAGAGACAATGAAAATCCACCTTTAAATATTTCATCGCCATCATTTTTAACTAAAAAAATATTTGAATTGGAAATATTGCTTAATCCGCCACTGCGCCTGGCGCTAAGTTAACATTTTATTTCTTACGTAACGAAAAAAAAAACAACGCACACAAACGGTGATTCAGTTCGTGAATCATAAATAATTACCTAGGAATCCGCAAAATACCGACGGGTTCATGCTTAAAATACAAAAGTGAGTACACATGCGAAATTAGTATTCAACTCACAAAAAAAAGTCACGTTCATGAATCCAATGATTAATTGACGAAATTAAATGGTAAATGGCCGTTTACGTTTTTATAACTTCAGTTCGAAAAATAAACTGGTTTTCTATATATATATATATATTTTCAGAGATTTTAAATAATTCGAGAGTTTGACCGAAACATAAGTAAATAATTTGCGTAATTTTCGAAAAACACAAGGCGGCAAAATGCGTGTGCTTTTCTTAAGCTAAGCTTTTGGTATTCTTGATTTAATTTTGCTTTTTTTTTCCTCCTGAAATCTAGGAATTCTCCACTGGCGCCGATTGTAATAGTAGAGAATGCCGATGTCGAAAAGGACGTGATCATGAGAGAGGACTTTGATGTACCGGACGGTATCCATGAACCAACAACTTCAGGTAAGCAGCGCAACGGCCAATTAGCAATGTTCATTTGTTAATTGCACGTCAATTAACGACGAAGCATACAATTTACTCGAACTCGTGGAGAGCTTTTTCAAACAGTGTATATAATCTTCAGGTGAAAATACGTCGCAGCATTGCAATTTACCTTTATTATTAACGTAAGCAGTGTAATGGATTGCGAGGCATTTACACGGTGTCAATTATGGAAACACGCGCGGCGATCTTTTTGAAAACATAGAAAGCACAAACAACGATCCTTTTTTTTAAACCTATAATTAAAGCCTTTTCTAAGTAATTGATGTACATCGAGTCATTTTCGAAAGAAAAATAAATCCTTCAATTTTTTATTACTATTCAAATACATGGATATATAAAGAAACTAAATTAATTTGAATAATTGCAATATTTATATTTAACTTAATTATATTGATCAAAATATATCAATGTTTTGATTTTGTTAATTACACTAAATATATAAAATTTACATTCAAATACAATAGAATTATATTAACATAATTTTAAATTATGAATTTAGAATTTGATACAAGCAAATTATATTAATTCAGTTTAATTATAATTTGCTTGTATCAAAATTCTAATTAAACTGAATAAATAATTTATAAAATGATTTGTAAAATCACTGAAATGTTTGTAATTTTCAAAGTATCAAAGATTTTACACTCCCTAAAAGTAATTTAATTAATGATTATAGTTTTTTTTACTATGAATTTGTACACTTAATATATATACTTTACCGAATGAAAAAGAGAATTTGGATGTTTGTTAAATTTGAAACTACAATGCTATAGTTACATTGAAGTTTGTATAAAATTACTACTAGAAAAGCAAACCTTAAAGTTGATTATCAAAGCTATTACAGTCAGGAAATAATATAATTAAGTACAGTGGAATCTCGCTTAACGAGTAAAATGAATTAACGAGCGACGTTTCGCATAACGAGTGACGATGAGAAGAGAAGTCCCGGATTGCGCGCCTGTTACATCATTTTTTAAACTTGTATACACATATCATGTGTATTTTTTTAATATGTTATACGAGTGGAACGAATTAAACTCGTTAAGCGAGGTTCAACTGTAATTTATATTTTTTGAATAATTTTAATTATTTTTGTACTTGCTTATGCAATGTGACATACACGCGTGCTATGTTAGTTGCCTACGTTGTATAACTCAAGTTTGAATTGTTTGCGCGTCGCTTACCAATTACAGCGATTGTTGCCGTTAATTGGTGTCTCATTAATTAGCCGCTCAAGATAAATATTTAGACTGGCCGTTGAAGCGAAGCAATCTTAGCTATACGTAACTCAAAATTTCGGGATGAGTAAGAGCGAATGTGTCACCTAGATTCTGGTTGCACCTAATACTTAGAAAATCATTTGCGGTCAAGCATTAGCTCATAGCAATGCAAAAAAAAACATAATATGAATAGATAATCAGACAAACTCGGCGATTGCTTAAAATGTGAACGTATCTAATGATTAATTTATTAGCTAACGAATGAAAAAAAAAAAAGCGAAAATAAAAAGCTGATAATAATAATAATAATATTTATGGTGTGCGGATTAAGTAATTAGTCCGTAACCAATTTGGATGGTTTCTTTATCTTTATCTCTCTCGCTCTCTGAAGTTTTTGTTTGTTTTTTTTTATTTGCAATGGAAGGAAAACGCAAAGTTTTCGGGGATGTTGGTGGGCTGGTGGTACCATTTGTAGATGATGGTATGTGGCTCGATCTTGGTATTGCAGTGTACTGCAAACGACGAGCTCGAGATGCCAGCTGCCCTTGACTTTACGTCCACTGACCCGATGTTCGCCATTGCCCCCTCAGCCCCCCATCGGTACCCGTCGCAGTAATCGTGACGTCAGCCACCATTATCCGTTCAATTTGAAAACAGAATCTACAAAATTACAAAAAAAAATAATAATAATAATATAATCCACATACATAATAAAAGTAGATATTAAATAAGTAAACGAACGAAACAGAAATAGACCTTGAAAATGTCAATCAAAACCAATGAGTACAAAGAAATCAAATGCAATTATCCGCTATTTTTTATTTTGCTTCTTATTAATAGACAAATTACAATTTGAATTTTTAATACAAAATTAATATAAACAACAACAGCTGATATACATTTATTTTTCAATTAGAAAATAGAACAATCATATCAATTTAAAAAAAAAAGTTGCAAATGTTTTACTTGATTTAAGTAAGTACATAAAATACGTAATTGAATAAATTATATAATTTTTCTTAAAGATACTCAATAGATAGATTTCTAATAAGAAATATGCAAATTGAAAGTACTTGTATCAACAAAAAAAAAATAAGAATGAGTCGGATTATCCTTGCCATTTATATGTTTCAAGTAACAGAGGTGACTCGGTTACAAAATAATCATAGCTATCTTATTTTTGGGGATTACATTCTGATTGCATCATTTCAATAAATACACATGAAAAAAAAAAAGCAAACGAGATTCATCCCTCAAAACAACCAATTTCAACTAATTATTTGTTACATTGTTAATATTAATATTATCGTAAGTATGTGTAAATGTAAATATATTATTGATTAATTTGAAAAGGAAATATGAAAAATTAACACAAAAAAAACAAAATTCTATGTATAATATAATCAGGCGCCAATAATTTTGTATGCATTATGGCTCCTTAATTGTTCATTATCAGATAGTGCATTATCGGTGCATGTTAAAAACAATAAACATGAAACAAAGGAATTGGTTGAGATTATTTATTTCATTGAATATTGTTCAATGGGTTAATTCATTATTATTATTTTTACGAAATCAAATAATAAATGAAATTGCTTACATACCCAAAAAAATAATTAAAAAAAACTTATATACAATAGGCTATTAATTGCAAACGATTTATACACAGAATATATATAGGAAAAGTAATAATATTTATTACACGTCTCTATAAATTTTAGATAATTACAATTATTAACAACTATTGATTTATATATGTTTTTGATTCATGTTTTTTTTGGTATTGAATAGAAAAATTAAGTGTATTCTTAAGTATTGCAAAGGGTTATTGATGACAGGTCCTTAGTTAATGTAATGTATGAATTATATAATAGGAAATGTATAAAGCGTTGAAATGTATAGATAAGGAAAAATAATAAGGTTTAGATATGGTTGTGATGTATGTGATTTTTAGTTTTGTTGAGTATGCATATTCCGATTTTGCGGAATGCGTTCGTTTTGCGGAAATGAGTCAGTAAATAGCTGGGGTGGGAAAGATTTAAGAATGTGGAATTATCGTTGGAAATTATAAATAAAAAAAAATATGTGAAGTAAAATGTATGTGTGATATCTGTAATAATAGGTGTTATCTGTGGCTATCGCGGTTATCGTGGGTGTTATTGAATTCGAGTGGATTACCGAAACAAAAATGGGCAAAACAAATAGGGAATTCGATGATGATAATAATAATAATAATTGTGATGGGCGAAATAGCATGGAGGACGATAATGAAGCGAGAGAGCCGAAAAGCAATAAAAACGTATCCGCGAAAGCGAACGGATTGTACGCAGGTGAAGCGAAATAGTCCGATTTCGTTCCAGAGTGTGTGCATCTCGGCGAAAATGCCGATGATTGAAAATCTTTCGTCGGATGGACGCCGGCTTTGGCTTTAGAGACCAGTCGCGAGTCAAGAGTAGTTGAGTAGTTTGCTCGCGCCGTTCGCGCGTTCACCACCTATAACACTTGGCGGTCCACGAACAAAAGCAAAAGGAGGAACGGCGAGAAGAAGAGGAGGAGGAGGAGGAGGAAGAAGAAACCGCATCAGCAGCACGCGAAGAAGTGCCGGTAAAGCGCGCTGGTGGAGAAGTCGCGAATTTTTTGGTGCTCTTAAGGAAGCGGACAGTTTGTTATATTTGGAACGCTTCTTCGGAAGGAAGGATTTTGTAGTCTCGGCAACAAGAAAGAAATTTGAAAAATTCATAAACAAATACATATTGTACATATATAGTTTGAGTAAGTCACTATTTTTAAGTCTACTGACTCATGTGTGTGTATATTTGTTTTTCTTGTCCGCGATCCGCGACCGGCGGTATCGATCGATTAGATTAACAACACGACGAACAACAAAAGAACTCAGTCGATCCGAAAACCAAAGTCCAGATCGACACGCTCCTTTCGATTCGGTAATCTGTAGCGCTCCTCCGATGATCCCAAATGGATCAAACGGAACGTGCAACTGCTGGGAGCACGTAGCTCGGCATCGCGCCGCATATTAAAGAAGTGAGTGAGGCACACACACAGTTCAATAGGGATTATCCCGATTATCCGGATGTGCGGAAACGTTACATAAATCGCGGCGCACCACAAGGGTAGGCGTCTTTCGCTCGGAACGACCGTGGGGGTGATGTTGACCATGGCCGGTGGTTCTTGTGCTCGTTGTCCGGCTCATATATGGTAACTTCCCACTTGTCCACGGCATGGTTACAGTTGATCTTAAAACAGCCTTCGGAGCAAGTTGCCATTTGTCCGTCCGTTGCTGTGAAAGTGATTGCAGTGGGCTGTGCGATATTAATATATATGTATATATAAATATATATATGTAACTATATATATATATATTTATAAAAGCAATTCCGTAGTACAATGCGGTACTGAGCCAGTGAACCACTCGGTATGGAGCCGCGAATCATCTATTGCAAACCGAAAGCGGAATACACCACGGCCATATTCCAAAGCACCACCAGTCCAGGTAAAACCGATCAGACAGACCGCGATTAATTCAATACCGGAGCGCCTCTTTGTTACTTCTTTTTTATTCATCTTGTTTCTTGTTCGCGAGCGAATTCCCGCAGGAATGCCAACGATTGTGCCCATTGTTCCCTTCCAGCCGGTATTGTTATGACTGGTCATTGCGCGTATTTACGCATACCACGGGAAAGCGAAAACGCGGACATATAGCAGCAACCCGGACCATACCGATCCACACGTAATGCCAAATGACCCAACCCAAATTGCTCTATCCTGTTCAACTTTGCGGAGCAGCTTCGAAAGTGAAACAGAACAGATGCATCCATCATCCGTACAACTTCGAAATGCGTTACGCGTGTTCTTTTTTTCTCTAATTTTAATTTAATTAATTTGCAAAACTAAAGCCGAACTTAAAATCAATTTGGAATCAGGTATTTTTAAGAGCGACCTCGTGCTTCTAACATCCATTCCTTTACTGCAACTAATTCCACGAAAAGAAAAAAAAAAACAATACAAACGCATATTTTACATTCAACAAATTGGATTAATTAAAACAAAATATTATTTTGTTTGCATATCTCTCAGCAAAACCGAGCTGAACTAAATTTCGATTTGAAATCAGGTATTTTTACTGACGACCTCGCGCTCATAACATCCATCCATAGCTGTAAATAATCCAACTTAAAATATAAAATACAACTGCATTTAATATTTTAGTTCAATATTCATAAATCTCTAAATGCTATAAATATTACATAATGCAAATGAATTTTCCAAAAAGAAAGAAAAAAACAAACATTTTATTTGCAATCAAGACTTGTTTTTTTTTACAAGCGACCTCGATTCATCCATAACTGTTGTAACGCGAAGAATCTAATTGCATCTAAAAAGGATACTAGGATATTTAAAAATTGGGTTATAAGAATTTCAATTAACATTTCGAACATTAAAATCGAATAAACCTAAGTTTAATTCGTTATTTTTTTCTTTAGTTTGTATCAAAAATTGACTGGTTTAGCAATTAAAAACTAAAAATCGATTTGGAATCAACTATTATTTTTACGATCCCATAAGATCCATCAATTGCAGCAGCTAATCCCACGTAAAATTGCCTGCATCTAAATTGCAACTGGAAATAATGTATTTCAAAAGTTAATTGAAATTTTGTAACGTCTCGCCAGAAATAGAAACGCGAAAAGGTTTTCTAGAATCAATTATAAATAATAAAAGAGTTGAAATAACGTTGTTTCAAATACATATGCATATCGAAATTAAAACCGAAAAGGAAACTTCTCTTTTTTGTTTTGTTTTCGGGCCACCGTCTTACGCGAATTAATTATACTTTATTTTTTTGGTATACGTTAGTATCGTTCCTTTTCCTTTCGGAATAAATTTATTCTGAAATGATCTCGACTGTAAACAAGTAAATGCGCTTCGGCCTGATTATGTTTTTGGTAATTGAATGCTAATTTACCAATATATCTACAATATTTTATTTTATCATCAATTTCTTAAACAATTTTAGACAAAGTATTTATTATTTTTACATATTTAAAAAGAAAAATCCATAATATTTTTTTTAATAAAAATTCTTATTCAGCTTTCGCGAAAACGTGATTTTCACCAATAGCACTAATATTTCAATACACATATTACATTCCATTTAAAAAAAATTGTATATTATTTTATAATTTTCTCGAAGATTTATTTACTGATACTGAGTAATTTTAACGTGTTTATGTGTGTTTATGTTATATATTTTGTAGAAATGGTAATTTAAAAAAAAAATATTTTTTTTACACATAAACAAACAAAAAATGAATAGTCTTGTTAACAGATTTCGAACATTGTTATTTCTATATTATTCTTAGAGTATTACTAAAAATTATATAATCACAACCCGGAAATCGTATGACCCGGATATCGAGCGTCTAATCTGTTAAATCGCGTCCCACAAAGTAGCCGCTCGTACAGCAAAATATGCTTCTCTTCGCAGCTCTTGCTTAACGTTAATCGCTTTACCAAATCCAATTAGAATCGTTCGCAATTTACGTAATGAACGCATGAAAATTTTGACGCGAATTGTGACAGTGCGCGGCGATGAGGTACGGAGCGATTCCATTAAGCGGCGTGATCTGGTCGGCTCGTCCCCGGCTAAATCACATTCGCAATCAAAATAAATTGCATGAAATTATTTATTATCGTTCCATAATCGAAAGATAATATCTGAATCCCGGTGCGGCAGTTCGCGCCCCGCAACAGCAAAAAGAAAAGAAGAAAAAAAAATACCGCATGCCTATGTTTATGACTCCTCCGGAATGGATTACTAATGCGTCCTGGTCATGCCTGCCCATAAGACAGCTATTTGAATAATATATGGACTCATCGAGGAGTAATAACGCAAAAAAAACAAAACAAAAATGAATAATACAATGCCTGTTCTGATTAGGTTCCAACCTTTTGATTAGTTCGAGGTATAAATTCGCAAGCTGAAGGAGTACGCTTTCAGTTAACCGCTTAGTCTTGTAACATGCAGCGTCAAAGCAAATATTGTAGTCAGAATACATCCAAACGTAAGTAAATAAACTTTACAAATAGGTCCAATCATTCAATACTAGAAATTATTGCAATTTTCTTTTTATTTAGTTTCATAATTGTAGTAGTAGCAGCAATATTGTTAATAGATATATTATATTCCTCTCGTAGATTGCAGTTAAGAATGCGCAAAGCACTATAATTTAGTTAATTGATGCAATATTAATAATTTGATGTAGTCATAAAGTATGACAACATTGTTAGATGCAAATTAAAGATCGACCCACGTTGAATGTAAATATTCATAAGTTGGTTATTTTGGAAGGACCAATCACCTATGTTTGGAAGTTTCAAGTGAACGATGCATGCACTCAGTTTGTTTCATAATTTGTGTTATTGAAATTCTCTCGTTATGTTTTAATCAAAGAGTTGAACCGAAACGTTTATCGTTCCAGATTCGGTTTTGGTTCGTCTAAAAATTTAAAATCGGAAAAAATGCAATTTAGTTAATTAAAATTTAAATTTATTTACCAAATTCCCTTCTTACTGCTGTTTTCAACTATAAAATTGAAAATACAAAATAAATAAAAATTAATGAGTGCACTTTGTAATGTTTCTTTAGTCATGTATTATCATTTTCATTTGAGTTTGTTCTAATATTAGTTGCGCAAGATTTGTGCTTGCCCTTTCTTCTTCAAATTTTCTCTTTTTAGTCGGTGGTTAATTGGTGGTGATTGAGGCTTTATTTATATTTATGATTAAGCGTTTCCACGGAATTCGGCCTTGGTAGTTTTGTTTATTATGTATTTGTTTATTTGAAAAAATAATTCGGAGTATTCAAAGAGATTTCATCGCTGTCTCTTATAAATTGTTTGTTTATATACTCTATTTACAATTGACCGTCGAAAAATTATTTTTTTCGAATGATTATATAAATAAACCAAAACACTAGCATAAATCATCAAAGAGCATACAGGAAAGAAATTGATTAAGAATTAATTTAACGAAAAAAAAAAAGTTCCGGTTTCGGTTTTTCAATTAAGCAATTTTTCGTTCCGGTTCAGTTAAAAAATTCGGTTAATTTCGGTTGGACTTATTAACATATTTAAAGTCGTTCAAAGTTTATTCGTATTTGTTCGATTTAGAGTTAGCGGAAATAGCTTTTATTGACTTTGGATTAGATTATAATTAAATTGTTGTGGTAGGCCGCGATCCAGAGAAAGCTCATCGAATACTAAATAACCAATAGTGAGCTACCGAAACGCAGAAGTTTCATTGTCTGTGATTATTCGAGTATATGAAAGTATGGACATGTTTTTTTTATTATTATATTGTAGATGCTATCCAGCCACAATCGAAAGCCCCAGAAGCAGCTGCAAGGAGCGTAGCAGCGCCAACAGCACCAGTGAGATCCCTTACCCCACCAGGTAATAAATAGAATGCAGTTGTTATTGTAATAAGTTTGATAAACAAACGGCTGCATCTGGCCTCTGGTATTTTTAGATGCTGAAGTTATGGAGGCACCATCGATCAATTCCCGCCAGCCGCCCGACGGCCATGAATTCCCAGATTACCAGGAAACGCCAGTAATTCCGAAACCCATAATGTCAGGCCGCATTCCGAATCCTATACAATCCAGATCATTAAACTCCCAGGAACAGCAGAGCACTAACAAAGTTCGCAATATGATTGCCAAATTCTCGACAAGTCTAGATGAGCAGCTAACATCGGAGCCCGGCGCGCTCGAGTCATACAAGAGTCTGTCGAAATCTGTGATGAACATGAACACTATCGTTCCGAGTTCCTTAACTAATGCTAATTATACTTTAAACAACAAGAGTTCTCTAGACTTATCCGAAACCTTGCCAGAGAAACAAACTTCACTTGCTACGCCGAAGGCGCCGCGGTTAGGTCACATGCGTTCGCAGAGTATGATCAATATCTCCGAACAGAAGCCGAAAACAGACCGGTGGCATTTAATTGCTGAACAACAGAGAAGATCCTTCTCGAAATTGAAGGGTTTGATCATTCCAGAACACACGGACGTTGATGAAAATGTAGCAACGGTGGATCTACCGGAAATCAAGAGCGTAGTCACTCATACTCTTCCGCTAACGAAGGAAAAATCATCGCCTACAAACGCACATGTGCCGAAACATAGCCGCAACTCATCCACGCCTAGCTTGACCACTCCGATCTGGAACTCAAACAATTCCAATGCCATACCTAAATATTCGCCGGCGTTCAAACGGAAAAGCCTGCAGATCTACGGATCAAAGCCGGAGGAATCGAAGCCAAAGCCGCAAAAGCAATCAATTACTAGTCAATTGGATGACGAGAGTCGTCTGCCAGTAACATTGTCTTTGAACGAGGCTCCCAAGTCATTAGAGAGTATAACTTCCCCGACGCGTTCCGACTGCAGCTTCGAATATATGAGCAGCTCACCAGAACTGAAGGCCACCAAAGTAGTTGCCGACCCCAAGCCGATCGCCAAACCTAAGGAAGAGACCGGTCGATCAGAGGATGAAAGCGATAATGATTCTGCGGTAAGCTCGAGCCAGTCGAGCTACATCTCCAGGAATTCACCACCGGTGTCCCCGAACCACCTGCAATCCAATTTCCCGACCCCGCGCGAAAGCGACCTGTCGCCGCGTACCTGTGGCAAGTACGACTTAACCGGTTCCGAATTGCAGACCGCCGACAGCTTAAACCCGCGCCTGCTGAAGCCCCAAAGCGTCGAAGCGATCAACCGGAAAAACATATTGGCCTCAGCAAAATGTCGCAGCGGTCGCGATCTTAAGGTCGGCTCCCCGCTCATCCAACGGAAATTCGATGAGGAAGTTACAAAAACAGAAGAAGTTGGTGAGAGTCCGATGGTCGTTGAGGAAGCGCCGCCAGCGGAAGCGAACGGCCACAAGCCCAAGGAAAACAAGCGGCCACCCACTTTGGACCTCAGCAAAATTCTTCCTAGATCTACCTTGAAAAATAACAAGACAGCTAGCGTCACAGATTTGCGGAAGAATTTTGAAAAGATGGCACCGCCATCTCCGAAAGTCCGAACGCCACCCATAACTCAAGCGCAACCAGCACAGAAACCCACAACTCCGATAACTACTATTACCACCAAACGCAACTCATTGCCATCCATTCCACAAGTCAGCGTAAAGTCCTTAGATACCAAGGTAATGCAGCTATCCAAAACACAAATATTATAAAAGATCAACATATCATCTTTCAGGAAACCACGAAGATTATCGTGGAAGCAATTACTAATTTAGACGAGCCCATTACCAAAGAAGAAGTCAAAGTGATTAACCTCTGCCCAGAAATCGCAGGAGGCAGCATTGGAATAACGTTGGCTGGAGGAGTTGATTATGAAACGAAAGAGATCACTGTAAGTACGATGTTAACTAACTTTAATTTCCTTTATTACAATCAATTACAAAATAAAACGACTCAATACAATAATAAAAATAATATTGAACTGCTGCAAAGGGCTATTGCCTAATCATAATATTAAACATCTATTTTCTATTATATTTTTAGGTACATAAGGTACGTCAAGGGAGTCCAGCTCATCGCGATGGGCGCTTATCGAAGGGTGTCAGGATTTTAAGTATAAATGGAAAAACAATGAAAGGACTTACACACGCTGAATCAATAGCCATTTTAAAAGTAAATATTTATTGAACTTGAATAACTCATAATAGTATAACATGTATATTCTACATAGGAAAACGTTCCTGAAGTGGTTTTGGTAATATATAACATGAAAGAAGTAGCAACTACCCCGGCACTAACACCATCTTCTCGGCATAGCTCCATGTATGATCTTCTAAAAATCGCTCCTAAGGGTAGGTATCACAAACATAAACTTAGGTACATAATAATTAAAGTATTTTAAATTACAGATTCACCGATTCCAGCATCACATAGTGTGAAGCAAGAAGAAATTGTGGTGACTTTAGTTAAAGATGCAGCTAGTTTGGGTTTTAGTATGGAGGGAGGGAAAGAGTCACTGCAGGGAGATGTGCCATTGGTCATTAAAAAGCTTTTCACTGGTGATTTTTCATTATATTTTTTTAGCATTCATACTATTTGTTTATACCATTATGTTGTAGGAGGAACCGCGGACAAGTGTGGAAAATTGAAAGTGGGGGATGAAATCATTGATGTGAATGGCATAAATGTGACAAATATGCCGCGAATAGATGTCTGGTCATTAATGAAGAAGTTACCGGACGGAGACGTCATACTTAAAGTGCGAAGATAAAGCAACACTTTTAGTCAGACACAATGTACATATTTTATACATATATATATAATATAACTTCTTGCTTCAAATTGTTTCTTTTAAGAGATCTGCGGAATTATTTTACATTTACTATAAATGCTTAAATATCAGTATTTTCTTCGTCTTTATATAACTTCAGAAAATGTTATCTTATTTCTAATGATAAATATATATATTTATATAAAAAAAAAAACAAATATGACTTTTCCTCTCATTATTAATAAATATAGAACGAAAATAAACTAAAAAAAATTAACAATGAATAAACGTGAACACAAATCATTCAAAATACGGAGCATTATAACATAATACATCTGGCAAAAGTTAACATATTAGATCTTTAGATATGAATCCAAACGACATACTGCTTTGTCTTTCACAAACCCTAATACAGCTGCATCATAAGGCACATCGCGATCAGTTGAAACAGCATATCCAGCTTTATCAAAGCCAATTATATTGAAATCCTTTTTAACTTTCGATTTTTCGTCAACCTTAACGATAGTTTCAGCAGATTTTGCTTTGATTTTTTCAATTTTTTTTTCATGAGATAAAGTGGCCAAAAAGTCTTTGACTGATTTGTGACCGTGTGCTTGTGCCATTGGAAATAGTATTCCTGTGGGACGTTTCCCTTGCCTATTGCGACAAATTGAACAGTTGCAAATATCACGACAGGGAGGACAGGACCAATTTGGATTTTTAAGAGCATCGCGTGCGTCCTCGCCGTACCTGTTCATCAGACATGTTCCACAAAATTGTCCTCTAACACCAGTACACTTACCACTTCTGCAATAAGTTTTACTATCCTTTGTTTTTTGTCTACATTGGTGACAGCTTGTGCCTTGCTCTGAATAAGTTTTATTATAACCTTTGTATGCAATACGGTTCAAATAATCCTGAGTGATATTCTCTACAGCAACACAAGGTACTGGTGCAAATTTAGTGACAATAGTCCTCCTTTTTTTTGGCACAAAGAAAGTCGGTTCATCATCTTCAAATTCTTCTTCACTTGAAGACAAAATACTTTTTCTGGGTAAAGTTTCTTCGATTCCCTAAAATCACATTTATCTTTAATAACAATTAAGCCGCAGCAATGACAATATATATATATTAACTTTATTATAAGGGCAAATTCATATTTTCACTCATAATAAAAATATTTAAAAGAATATTTAATTGTGATCATTTAACTATTCTGTGGTTATAAAGTATCAAAAATCATGCAAATAGATGGAAAATGTAATACCTCAGCTGACTCCTTATAAAAAAGCTCCGGTTTTTTGTTCGCTAATCGGGCTGATCTTTTAACCTGGGGAGCTGCAGTAAGTTTTGCCACATTTATGGATAGAGGCTTTCGTACATTTTTACGTTGTCTGGGAATCCTGCGTTGAGTGGCTTTCAGATATGTTAGATTTTCCGTTAATCCAGAAGATCCAAAAGCTGCCGCCACCTATTACAGAGGAACACAAGGTAATAAAGTTGCTAGTTATCTAAACCTTACTTACAAATTTATCTATTTCTTTCATATTCTCCAACCGAGTTTTCTCGATGTCCGTAAGTTCTTCATCATCACTGAAGGAATACATATTTTCATAGATATGTTTCACCAAATACAATATAAACACTAATTCACTATCAACAAACTGCAATAAACTTGAACAAACTGTATCTGACTGCAACGGCTCTAGACGGTAAACAAACGAAGCACGTGAAAATTTTCCCGCTCTCTTCAGGATGTTACTATCTGCCCCTAGCGACAATATCGAAAAGTTATGTTTCAATAATAATTATTATTAATTATTATATTATATTCTTTATTAACTTGTGTATCAATCATATTAACACTAAATGTAACTAAAACAATAGAAAATTATTTCTTTAGTAAATTACATAACTTTCAACAAATAATACATTTGAACTACCATCAACCATGATTAGTAAATAAAGTTTAAAATTTAAATTATAGTTTGTCTTAATATTATAATAATAACATTTAATAATTGTGAATAATATAAACTAAGATTTGCATAAATTATATGTTATTAGTCTTATTGAAATAAAGATAGGGAAATCCATATTGTGTGAGTCATAGATATTTATTCTAATCAATGCTAATACAAATTATTCGTACGTAATTGTAGTACATTAATTTATTAAATATATTAGAAAAGACGATTCTAGGAAATTCTAAATCCTGACAGGACTGCTGGTTTTTACCCAGACTTCCTTGCATTTCCTTGTAACCATTGCCAACATTTCAAACATAAGGGTGATTAGGGTTGTTGGCTGTTGGTCTGTTTCACTATAATATAATGTTGTTTTAGTCCATATATACATTCCAAGCAGATTAGGGTGGCTCAATTATACTTAATGTGACAAAGAAGAAAATAATTGAATATATAACAGTACAAAGTATTTAGCTCTGTAAGTATTCATGCATAATTCTAGTTGGTTTTCATGTAAAAGACTGATAGTCTTAGCAGTGAATATAAACCACCTTCTGTTTCAGTGAAATGTCCGTATTAAAGACAAGTACCTCAGAGAGGACAAGCATCCATGAGATGTTACGAGAAGCAGCACCAAGTGATGGAAAGGGCAATGTCTTGGCCACCATTGAAGCAAAAACAAATCATGTACATTCCAAATCGCTGCCAGCTAGCACCAGCTCGCCTGCTATTCTCATGCCTAGCTCTCCAACACAGAATGATGACACAACTATTTACAAGAACAATTCTAGAATAGAAAATATTAAGAACTGGTCTATATCCACTTACAAATGCACCAAACAGCTGATGTTTGAAAAGTTAGGAAAATCTTCCAGAACTGTAGATGCAGGTAATTGTTTAATCATAATTAATTATTGTATCATACTAATACATATTTAATTAGAACTTGAAGGGCAGATTGAATCACTGAGGGACACTCAAAAGAAGTACATGAATATTCTTCGATTGGCTAGAGCTCTTACCAATCATTTTTATCATGTAGTTCAAACTCAAGTAAGGTTACTTCTGTTGCAATTCAAATTAGATTATTAATTATTTGGGAATTAGCATGCTCTAGGCGAAGCGTTCTCTGAGTTGGCTCAGAAGTCACCAGAGCTACAGGAGGAATTCCTCTACAATTCAGAAACACAACGAAATCTAACGAAGAACGGAGAAACCCTTTTGGGTGCTCTGAATTTCTTCACGTCTTCTGTGAATACTCTTTGCAACAAAACCATTGAAGATACTCTTCAAAGCATAAAGCAGTACGAAGCTTCACGCATTGAGTACGATGCATACCGCACAGATCTGGAATCGATGTCTACGAAACCGGATGGAAGTATGGGTTTGGAAGATGCCCAGCAAGGCTACGAACTGCATCGGCAACAGTTCATGAAGTTGCGAGCTGAGGTTGCGGTGAAATTAAAGTTTTTGGATGAGAACAGAGTAAGGATTCCTATAATTATGACATTAAATTACAATAATAACACTTTATATTTGAAGGTGAAAGTAATGCACAAGCAGCTGCTGCTTTTCCATAATGCTGTCTCCGCTTATTTCTCCGGAAACCAAACGGCTTTGGAGGCAACACTGAAGCAGTTTAACATCAAAGTGAAAACGCAGAACTCTAATTTCCTTTCATGGTTGGAACAGTAAACGGATTGTTCATATTAAATGTAATATTCTAGTCAATGGCGAAAAAGGAAAGAAAAACAAATCTTAAAGCTTTTTTTTTTGTTTAAATAAACAAAAAGAAATAACCAATTAACTCCATCTTCTAAGCAATTCACGTCACATTAAGCTTACATGCTGCGGTTCCAATAATTTCAACCAGTATTAATTTATTCTTTGGTGATTCGTTGTAACGAATAGCTAAATTTTTACAATTTCTTCCGATGTAGGGTGTGAAAAATGGTTCCTTAAATGTAGAGAAAAAGGATTCATGATTCGCCTTGCACGGCATTCCTTGCTTTAAATATACGTACTTATTTATTTATCCTAATAATTTTATAATAATTATTTTAATTTTATGGTAACTACTAAAGAGATATGATTTGCAATTTCATTAATATACAAATATTGACCGGAAATATTAATATACTATGTGTTACCTTGCTGTTCTAAATAACAATAATTAAATGTTAAATTATATACGTTTTCGTTAGCATATACAAGGGAAATGATAGGAATTAGTCCCATAATTTGAATTGATAATGCCGAGTATTTACATTGAACGAAGCTCGGTGTTCTGGTTTTAACGCAAGTGTTTTTTTTTAATTTTGGGACTTATTATTTTTGATTTTCGTGTAGCTTTTGAATGTACTTTTGTAACAATGAAATTAATTAAAAAAATAAACAATTATTTGAGGGAAACTTGTTCATTTTTGCACGTTTGTAAAAAAAAAAGATTAACATAACTGTAATAATAATAAACATGTTTGGCAAAGTGTAACAAATATCACCATGTATACAGTATGTAAGGATGTACCATACGTTATATAAAAAAAAACAATATAAATCGGGCAGTTTGCGTATTTGTAACAATACGTATGTACATTTCAACACTAAAGGATTTTCTTGCAGTCCAATAAAGTTGTTATGAGCAAATCTATTTGGAAATTTAAGTTAACTAGAGTGAATCCTCAATGTCTACTAATTAAAAAATACATGTAAAACGCAAATTTAATAAATTAAATTTTAAGCTATATTGTATTTCTATGAAAATCCTATACAATTTTGAAAATATTTTTTTAGGGAATTGAAGAATGAAATAATTTTAAAAGCTTAATTTATTCAAAATAAAGCACTAATAGATAAAATTAATTTTAAAATAGTTGGTTGTCATACCATTGGTAAGCTGTTGAATTCTCGTCAAGAATTTTATATTCGGTACATTTTCCCCTAAAAGTATGAATAATTAGTTACTTGCATAATATTGAAGTAAATATATATACTTGTTGTAACGGATGCAACCGCCTCTCAAAGGACCTTTTTTAAAGCACTGAGGTCCCAGAATGTTGAAATAGGTAAACCCGATTTCCTTTGAGACCAAACTGTACCCTTCCCTGAGGCAGTTGTAAAAGGCAGTATCGCAATCGCAATGAGATCTAGTGAAAACACCATCATTTTTCAAACCATATTTAGTCGATTTGGATTCGATTCCCTCAGGACAATTGTCGTGTTCCCTACAACACTTGTCAGTCTTCGCGAATACTCCGAGATCATCAAAGCCCTTAGCCTTGTTCCCATCTCCGCACCACCTAGTTCCTAATACAGATGTCCTCTTCATAAAATCTTAATATAAATTAATCTAATATACCTGGAAATATAGCCGAGACATGCTTTTTAAATGGTCCCAATGCACCGCTGAAGAATGAAGTGTTCGTATCTAAACCGCTTGTATCAATGTCCCTAATGAAGGGAATATTTTTTCCTATCCTACGCGCGCCTTCTTTCACAAAATTCACACTCTTCTCTATAAAACTAGTCCTAGTTGCATCCACTGGCGAATTGGGCTCCCTGAACAGCGAATCCTGGATAGCTTTATGAACTGTAGCTGGTAAAAAGAATCGCGGCTGTAGAAGGATTTCATCACCTACAATTAATAAGATTAAATAAGCCAAACGCTGTGCAAAGTAACTTTACCATTATCTATATAATCCGTTGAATCTGCGAACCCAGAGGACATGAGCAAAACGCAAAAACTTCCCAAGAACAGCATTCTTCTGCAACGCAAAGCATATTAAAAGAAAAAGAAACAAGTCAAACCGTATTTCAAAATCAGAAATGCTTGGCCAAACACGAACGCAATTTGCTGATTTATTAAAAAGTAAGAAGTAGTACGAAGAAATCATTTGAAGAAAAAAAAACAAAGTACAAGAATCATTGAATAATGAATCCAGTTATTATTTTTTTTTATTAAAAATGTTATAAAGAGCACATGTGAAAGTTTGAATTATATTATTTTTGGTTTTGTTCTTTTCGCTAATCCACACTCACTTTTATTTTGTGTACTTGTTTCTGGTTTCAAGTGTTTAAACTGCAGCTACGATTTGTTATGTACTGGAAGCTGGAAAACCGACTAATCTGGTTTTATATTAATTATTGCGATTGGTAATTAAATATGCAATAATAAACAACCTTCAAATGGTGTGGTAAATGTCCATTTGTTCAATTTCAATTGCTGTTGCCGCTGTACTCTACAATTGTCTATATTTTGCCAATGTTTTTCTTCTAATTATTTTTGCGCGACAACAATGGAAATATCTATAATTATAACAACCTTCTCTTTTATTTGTAAACATTTTTATCCTTTTATATAATTAAGTACTGTACGTACTGTAAGTACCTAACTCCATTATTCACAATAACGGAACAACACTCAATTACCTAGTTTACGTAACCATTCATTAATTCAATTCAGCGTACAATTAATCGATTTCTTAGAAAAATAATGGGAAATCAGCGCATATTAACATATCAATGCATCAATAATTTTAAATAAAAAGTTTTATTTTCATTTTATACAATTTTATATTTTACAAAAATTGTTGGATATTTCCAAAATATTTTTAATAAATAATTTATAAATATTTTTAGGACTTTTTCTGCATATATGTGTGTTATCGGTGGCAATCAGAACCCGTCAATCAAATTCCCGACAACCATAATACCGATTATATCAAAATGCCGACTATATGAAAATCACGACAACCATAATCCCGAAACTGTCCACAATAAAATTTTAAAATTAATCCGGTGACTTTTAAATTGTTATTAATAATAAATAATAACAATTAATAATCTAATTGTATTTGAGATTATTTCATAATGTTAAGGTTTATTATGAATAATTCAACAAAATCAAATAAATTACTAATAATTTATTTTTATTAACAATAAAAGTGTAGCACAGGGTGACTACGCTCCGAAATAATTTAAAAATGTTATTGTAAAAAATTTCGATATTGTCGGGATTTTGATATAGTCGGGATTTTAATATAGTCGGGATTATGGATGCCGAGATTCTGATACAGTCGGGATTATGGTTGTCAAGATTTTGATATAATCGGGATTTCGATAGTCAGGATTTCAATAGACGGTCTTTCGGTTGTCGGGCTTGCGATATAGACGCGTGTGTTATATAAAATGATAATATTTGTATACTGCTATGAAACAGATATATAATTTAAATTTTGCATATGGCAAGCATCTGTTTTTTTAACATAAAATGCTGATAAAATGATAGAAATTTACACAAATCAATTAATTTATGATAAATAAATATTTCTGCATTTAAAATACTAATTCCATTATCATAATGCCTGATAACGAATTGAATGATTTGTTATTAACCTTCTAGTATAATTATAAAAAGATTAGTAACGACTAAACAAAGGGGTGAAATTGAATTAAAAAAAATATTTTAAATGGGGGTAGTTGTACGTATATTCCTTTTGTTAATAGAACTTATAAGCAATTAAGTTTCACAACCAATCACAACTCACATCTTATAATAATAAGAATTAACTTTGTAGGTTGAATATGCATGATGCCAAAGAAAGTTATTTAAAATTCGATTTTTTTTACTTGAAAAACAATATACTGATATCTTAGATGCAAAACGATTTATTTTTATAATTACGAAAGTGATATTTTAGTGTTTAATTAAGTCAGGTATTCGACTTATTCGAATCAATTTACTACTTGGAAAATGATTGTAATGACTTCAAAATAAAACTACTTTTAATATAAAAAAAAATATAATAATATAATTTCGTCTCTTTTCCCAAATGTAAGTACAATAAGAGGCAATAATAAAATATATAAAAAATAGCAAATATAATAAGAATTAAGTAACTATATTGTTAATAATCTTTACTTCGACTTCCAGCATCGAATTCTCGGTGAATATTAAAACTTTAACCTTCTGTCTATCGTTCATATGGACATCGGCGCAAGTCAAATTGATACGTTTAATCTGACCAGGTTTTATGACGTTCCTTCGATTGCTAATCTTCAAAAATCCTTCCGGTTCCATTTTGATCTCGTATAGAACATCTTTCGATCCTTCGCAAGATAAAACAATCGAGTCGGAAACTTTAAAAGGCGGAGTTAATAGAATATTCGAGACCTCAACAGTTAATAAGTCCACAATATCGCTCTTATCCACGATCGTCATATTGGAGTAGTTATTCATTAACGTGTGATACTGCGAGGTTTCATCTATAGCTTCGGGACAAAGAGTTTTGTCCATGTCCTGTTCGACTGTTATAGTTATTTCTTTGCGCAACAATTCGTTCAGTATGACGTGGAAGTTTTTTACTGTATCTTTGTAATTTCTTAAATCGTCTGGAATGCATTCGCCTGGAAATATCTTCGTTAATTCACAGACCAATTTATCGGGCATCAGATTGTTCTTCGATACGTATTCATTCAATTTCCTTAATCGTCCTCTCAATACTTCCGGTCCAAACACTATCGTGATGTGTGCGATTTCCGTGACTTCTGATCCGCCGTTGAACGTTTTACAGAAGATCCTGTAATCGTCCTTCGTTATGATGTATTCAACCTGAATAGAAACCTGCTGCCCAGGCTGTAAAACAACTGACGATGGCGATAAATTTATCGTTGCGTAAGAATAAAGGCTCTTCGATCTAACGCTTAAATGCGCGAAACCGGGCAAAGTACCAGAGTTCTTAATCTGAAACTGCTTGACCATCTTCGAATTGTTTTGGCTATTTAAACTACCCAGAGGCAACCATAGTTTACCGGATGTGTCTTTGGGTAGACCTAGCATCTCGATACTGGAGTGTCCACCATATCCGAATAGGTTCATGACTTGTTGTTTATCCTTACGAATGTCCCCTTTAATCATTGGGTAAAAGTATAATTTACCAGTTTGAACACCTATCGTGGTGGGAGAAAAAGTTATCGTGAATTGCCTGCTTTCATTTGGATGTAACAAAATGGTGACCTTTGCCATAGAATCTGTATCTAATTTCGAGATTTTATAATTCAGATTGCTGGAGTTAACTTGAAATCTCATTTTATGATCTGAACGGTTTTTAACGACAAACTCTTGAGTCGCAATCTTTCCCACTTTTACACATCCATAAACCAATTCCGATTTAGTGCACGCCAATGGATTTTTAATTTCAGATAAAGTTTCAATACTGCAAGCGCTCTTCATAGAATTTATTGACCTATTCTTATTTTCCTTGTTCTCGTCCATATGGCTCATTGATTTACTACAAGTCAATTCCGAAGTGCTAACGAATTTTCTAGCGTTAGATTTATTAATCTTGGTATTTGGCGAGTCCAAACTTTTGCGATTATCGTACGATTTAGCTATATTCGAAAATTTCGATTTCACCAGTTTCTCTGCTAATTTATTCGGTGTTTCAGTCCCATTCGAGATTATATTTTGTATCTTCGAAATACTTAAAATGCTGCCATCTGTTGAAAATCGACTTTCATCCACCACCGTTAGTTCATCATTTATTAATGGTACGGGTTTCCGGCTCTCAGGACTCTTTTTATCGAACATCAAAGAGCAATTATCTGATTTCCCGCTGAAAAATTCACCCATCGATATTTTTGATTCTAAATGTGAATTTGGCTGAGAAAATGTCGATACTCTATTCACAGGCAAATCGTGCTCCCTGCGCCAAAACATTTCCTCAGCATTTATTTTTTCAGTTGCAGATTCTGCAGTCTCGAACATATCGCTATCCATTTCCTCAAACGTCGAATTAGTAATAAAATATTTATTGAAAATTTCCTTGATTGAAACATCTGAATTGCGTAGTTGCTGGGAAATATTACCTATCTGAGTTGATGTCCTCCGATCATCAGATAATCCAACCAAATCACTTTCACTCACTGTGCTTTCCATAGATTTTTTACTCATTGGTGTATCTATTTGTGTTTCTGGTTGGAAATATTTTGATGGTAAATTCATTGAATTTGGCTCACGTGTTTTGTGCATCACTCTGGTATATTCAGCTGTTCTATCAGCAATAAATTGTTTGTATAAAGAATCATACGCACTACTTTTTGATAAAGAAGATACATTCGGCTAAAACATAATTATAAATAAAATATATATAATAAGATATATGTATTTATTTTCTTACCGCTTCACTTCGAGGCACCTCAAGATGTGGTATCAAATCAACTTCTTCCAGAGACATCACTCCCAGAGAGTTTCTGTAGTTGCTAGAGGCGCTAAAACTTAAGGGTTTCAATTCCTGTTTCTTCTTGGTCACTGTTGAACAAGCTCTTGGCTTTGGGGTCTGCTTGACTGTTTCATCTAAAAATCCATCTCTTGAAAAATCCATATTAAAAATTATTAATTACAGAAAACGTAACAAACACACACATCAAATCTTGTAGCTTTAAAACTGATTTTTTTGGTAACCGTCTTTTTCTCGTCCAGCAGTATTTTGACACAAATTTGAACAGTAGAATCGAATAAAGGTAAACTTATAAAAGCGCCCTCTGGATTTACTACAAATTATTTTGTTTTAATATTACCTATATTGTATTGTAATATTAAATAATCTTATAACAATATTTTCTTATATTTGTACTATAGTTCTTGTTAGCAGTATTAAGAAATATGTAAAATAAAATCAATAAAATTTGACTGCAACCAAATATACACTTCTCAGCAAATGGATTTTGTGCAGCGCCAAAATGTCTGAACTACAACCTTTGCTATGTTGCTAACAGATGGCTATAACAAAAAGGAATATTCATTTTGCACCTAAAATGCAGGCAACCAAACATACATATAAACTTTGATTAAAAAGTAGGATATTGCCTTAAACAATGAACTGTATTAACATGAAAACTCACTCACATAAGAATTTAGAATATAAATATTGATCTAGAACATACAGAGATTAAAATGAGTATAAAACAGGCTTGTAGCTACCATAGCTTGGTCACAATTAATTATCAAACTTTGGTATAAGATTGTTTCGAAAACAACGTCTACAAAAATGGCCTGTATACACCAACTCTCAGAAGAGTTTTGGACATTAATGTTGATCTAGAATATAGAAAAATTAAAATGAGTGTAAATACAGGTTTATAGCTACCATAGCTTCGTCAAAATTAATTATTAAACTTTGGTATTAGACAGTTTGGAAAACAACATTTTAGAAAATGGCCTGTATTTAAATGTTGACCTAAAATATATAGAGATTAAAATAAGTGAAAATATAGATTGATAGTTATATAAAATACTTTTAGTCTCTTTTTGGGAATTTTAGTTTATCCAGTATTTTCAATGCGTCTAGCATTCAGAAAAGTTTTCCAGTCTCTAAGGATTATGTAGGAAGTAACAATAGAATCATGTTATCAATGAAATAGAAGAAGAAAACAATGTTGTTCATTGAGTATTCAGAACAATGTAGAATAAACATGAAATCCAATAAATAACTATAAATTTAACTTGCAACAGTAACAATAATAGTTCGCTTACTCACACAAACGTAAATTTCAAATTACAACCAATCAGGAACGACCGATGCTAGGAGCTAAGATACCTCCTCATTACTCATAGTCTCCTAGTGCAAATCCCTATTTTCTGGTATTTTCGGAGCCTTGCTTGCGTTTTGATTCGCGAAAACCGCCAACTCATTAAAGCTTAATAACATTCTTATTAATTGACCAAAACTAACGTACTTTATAGCAAACGAAAGCGAAATAATTATTCTTTAAAACAGTATTTTAAATTATTTTTATTTTTTAAATATATGAATATAATCATTTATTTAACATTTTTTTTTCAATTTGCTGCAATAACTTCACGTTTTTTTAAATTAATCGATTACCACTCGTGCTAATTAAATCATTAAATACTCAAATTAAAGACAAAACTACAACCTTTCTAATGAGTTAATTGCCAGCATTCTAGTTTGGTCAGAACATCTAATATAAGTTATCAAAATCAAGCATTTTCATTGTACTTGTAAATATATTATGAGAAGGTACCTTTTTATAAATAATTACAAAAATGCAAAAAAATTACATAAAAATAAAACAAATAATATGCATTATTATACCAAGTTTTCTTGGCCTTTCAACTAGTTAAAAACAAGTTTAATAACTATGTTCTACACTCTTAGACAAAACTGAAGCATAGTCTTATGAAAATAAACTTATTTCAGAATTAGTTTTAATTTAATTTTTGCATTTCTTAGAAATTATCTATATGAAATAATTATAATTTTTGTCATCTTATTTCTTTTAAAGAAGATTTATTTATTAATATTACGTAGATGTTAATAAAACGCATTGGTTAATTGCAGGTTTTATAAAGATTTATATGTAAATAATAGTAAAACTTGTTTGGAATTTTATAAGAAATTGTACTTGTGGTGCCTCCTAAAGGGCTGCCGGTGTACTTAGGATTCGATGAGTGCGCCACAGCAGTGGCCATACAACAAATTTTTCAGTTTGTATTGTATTACGAATAGGATTATACCTAAGGGAATACAAACAAGAAAAATGATGTTGTGACGTATTTATAAGAAGCGTTTATATTTATGATTTGAAGAGATCTCAGAAGTGTTTTAGTTTTGATATAAGGTATGGTTTATATAAAATTAACTTTAATTCATAACTCCCACATTAAATAGTTTAGTGTTTGTAAACAATTCAATTTAAAAAAAAAACTGCCACTCCCTGTGCACGTAAAATTACTCATTCAATGAATTATTTTGTAGATAATTATGTGGGACCTAATATATGCAATGCTTCTTGCATCTCCACTAGTAATTGCACAAAGGCTGTATCCAAATTTAGATGACTATAATCAAAATGATATCAGTGATATGTATTATGAACAATGCCCACAGCATTGGATTAAGTATAGACAGAGCTGTTACAAGTTCATTAAATCTCCATTAAGGCCCTATACAGAAGCCCGAAGGATTTGCCAGGTATGACATTTTAAATACTAATTAAATACTTCAATGAAATGACTCATTCTTTTTTTTACAGACATATAGCCCAGAGCAGGGAGGCTCTGACTTGTTGTCTTTGAGCAATTCAGATGAGCATGGGTTTATTATAAATGAATTAAATTGGAGGGATCCGCAGCACAGAAAATGGTATATTGGAGCAAATCAACAGAATCCAAATTACTGGATTAATCCAGATGGCAGTCAGCTAATTAATATGGAGAATGCTTTCCTAATGGATTCTGATCCTTATGGGAAAGATTTTTTAGCATATAATTTTTCTAAAGATATAATGCACTGGGGTTTCCAGCCAGTGAGAGGAGATGAATCCTTGCTGTTCATTTGCGAAGCGCATATCAGCAGCTTACAAAGACTGATTAGTGATGATAGAACTTATACTTATGGAATTGACATTATTGACTCAGCAAAAATACCTCAGGGGCCTTACTTTATCAAGCAACCAGAAGATGTGACTTATGATACTTCAAAATCTAAATTATATAATGATGTAACACTGCTGTGCCTAGCTGGTGGATACCCAACACCAGTATACGAGTGGTTCAAAGAAGATTTTGAGAATGATAGATTAGTTGCTAGAAAGATAGATCCATTAGTTGATGAAAGGGTTACTATTAGTGGTGGCATGTTGATTATCAACAGACCAGACCAGAAAGTTGATAGAGCTACATATCACTGTAAAGCAAAGAACGTCTTCGGTTCAATAATATCAGAAAGTGTGAATTTAAATTTTGGATTTATATCGGAGTTTGTTCTCAAGAGGTCTCCAGAAAACGGAAACCAAAATTGGGGAAAAGTATTGTTCTGTGATCCTCCACATCATTATCCTAGCGTTAATTTTTACTGGTCAAGAGAATATTTCCCTAATTTCGTCGAGGAAGATAACAGGGTCTTCGTTTCAAATGATGGTGCCTTGTATTTTTCTGCCTTAGAATCCATTGATAGAGGTAATTACAGTTGCAGCGTCCAAGCGGAATTTACAGATACAGGTCGGAATGGTCCATTCTTCCCACTGAGAGTAAACCCACACTGTAAGCTATTCTATACGAAAATGCGTCTTTATATTTGATTTAATTGTACTAATTTTTACATGAAGCTAACTATCAGCAATTGAAATTTCCAAACAACTTTCCCAAAGCGTTTCCAGAAGCTCCTATTGCTGGAAAAGATGTTAGATTGGAATGTATGGCATTCGGATAGTAAGTTCCTTTTAATTTTTTTTGCATGATAATGAAAAAAAATATTAGTGAATAGCAATATATAAAATAAACCTTATTTCAGTCCCATTCCTAGCTACAATTGGACGCGTAAGGGAGGAAATCTCCCTCGTAATTCCTACCTATCGAGCTATAATCGGGTTTTAGTTATAAGAAACGTACAGGTCGAAGACGAGGGAGAATACGTTTGCAGAGTATACAATGATCGCGCTTCGCATCAGAATAGCGTTATAATAAATGTACAAGCCGAACCAAATTTTACCATTCCACTTACCGATAAACATGTTGATAGTAAAGGAGAATTAGTTTGGACTTGCGAAGCGTTCGGTATTCCAGATGTAAATTATACTTGGTGGAAGAACGGTAGGCAGTTGGTCATGGGGTATATGGATTCCGAGGATAGGACAAGAATTAAAATCCAAGACAACGTTTTGACTATCACCGATTTAGATGACGATAGGGATCCAGGGATGTACCAATGTCGCGCTACGAATACCCTGAAAACAAGGTATTCTTCAGCGCAGTTAAGGGTATTGTCTTTTAAGCCATCATTTAAGAAGCATCCATTAGAATCTGAAACATACGCAGCTGAACATGGAAACGTTACAATTGTATGTAAACCTGAAGCAGCTCCAAAGCCAAGATTTGTCTGGAAGGTGAACGGAAGAGTGATTGCCACAGGAGGTCATAGAAAGATCATGGACAATGGCAACCTTATAATAGCTCCTGTGTCTAGAGATGACGAAGGCATTTACACTTGCACTGCAAGTAATCAACTTGGAATGGATGAATCCAGAGGTCGATTGATTGTGTTGAAGCCACCGAGATTAGTAGAACAATTAAGACCGAGAGTGGTCAAATCTGTAGAACAGATGTTATTATTCTATTGCCTAGCGGAAACCGAAGAAATGCTTGACATCGCTTATATCTGGACGCACAACGGTATTAGGATTCGCGACATTGACGTCAGAAATTCTTATAATAAAATTGTAAGACTTGTTAATAATCTTATTGGACGGCTGCTCTTCATTACGTTTATTTCTTTTAGAAAATGGAAGGAGGATCCTTGATCATCTCAAACGCAACGTTTGCAGATGCTGGCGAATATGAATGTATTGTGAAATCTGCCGTTGGTAAAATATCTTCGAAATCCAGTGTCATCATTGAGGGACCGCCTGGCCCACCAGGTGATTGATTATCTATTTACGTAATTACATGCAATTATAATTTGTTTTTTTTACAAGGTGGTTTGCAAGTGATTGAAATTCAGAAGACTTCAGCCATATTACAATGGACTGATGGAGCTTCAAATGGAAGGCCAATCCTCAGTTACACCGTTTTTGGAAGAACTAATTGGAACGATACGTGGATGAACATAACTCAAGGTTTGTTTGCTAAACAGATTGATAGGTATACGGGCCGAAAGGAAGCATTCATAGAAAATGTTTTGACTCCTTGGGCAACCTATGAATTTAGAGTATCAGCTTGGAACGAGTTAGGTATGGGCGTAGCTTCAGTCCCAAGTCCTCGACATTCTACTCCTCCCGATCATCCGAAGATGCCACCGAGGAATATCGGAGGAGGCGGCGGTAACATAGGAGATCTAACTGTTACTTGGACTCCGTTGAAGTCTGAAGAGCAATACGGTTCTGGCATCTATTATAGAGTATTATATAAGCGCAGAGACTATGACACTAAATTCCATAGCGTAGATTTAAAAGAGTACGGCAATACAGGAAAAACGGTCATCCACTTACCATCAGTTGACTATTACTACACACAATATATAGTAAAGGTTCAAGCTTTGAATGAGATTGGACCAGGTCCAGTTAGTAATGAAGTTATAATTTACTCGGCCGAAGATATGCCTCAGGTAGCTCCACAATTGGTGTTAGCACACTCGTATAATTCCACAGCACTGAACGTAAGTTGGAATCCAATCCTGGAAACCAGAGAAAATATTCGCGGCAAATTGATTGGGCACAGGGTAAGTGCAATAAGTAAGTTTCACGAATGGGAAATACCGAATACATTGTTTTCAGCTAAAATACTGGAGGAAAGATAACAAAGAAGAAGACAGTATATATTATTTGTCGAGAAACACACAGCCTTGGGCTTTGATTGTAGGTTTGATACCCGACACCTATTACTATGTGAAGGTAATGGCCTACAATTCTGCTGGAGAAGGCCCCGAAAGTGAAAGGTACATAGAGAGAACATTCAGAAAAGCGCCGCAGAAACCACCATCATCCGTGCACGTCTTCGGAGTGAATCCATCTACCATCAGGGTTGTATGGAGATACGTCCAGCCAACAACCGAAGAGGAACCTTTGCAAGGCTATAAGGTACACCTAATCATTTCCCAACTGTAACAACAAATGTCACATCAAATATTATTTAGATTCGTATATGGGATGTCGACCAAGATATGAGCACAGCTAATGATACGGTTATGTCAGTTGGCGAAAAGCTGGAAGCGTTTATTAGAAATCTATCGCCAGGAAGGACTTACAAGATGAGAGTATTGGCGTACTCGAACGGTGGTGACGGCAGGATGAGTTCACCAGCGCACACATTCCAAATGGGTAATTACTGGTATATCTTTCGAAATCCAGGGGCAATTAACAGTAGGCTTTTCTTGAATTGCAGGTGATCCTCAGACGTTCAAAAGTAGCGCGCGTCGGAACCTACCGGCGATCTTAGTCTTCTGCACAATTCTCACGCAAATATTTATTTTCTAAAGCATTCCAATATTACTATATGCAATTATATTTTTTTATATTGCCTAGAGAATAAGCAATTTATATCTATAAGATCCGTCCACAAAATAGATGTTCTTTTTTGTTAAGGAAATAAATAAATTTGAACTACTGCTGTTTTTATTATTATTTTTCCTTCCTCGTGCTTCTTCACTCTTGGAATAGCCTCTACCATTTAATTTTATTATTTACATTCTAATATATGATTAAACTTCCAATAATAGGGAATTTATGTTAAATGAATTTATTAAACAAAATGAACCATTTTCTTAAACATTAGTCTTGATAAATAATCTGTATGAAACGCATTGCGTAACGATTGCATAATACTACGTTGTTATGTAAGTATGGTTGTCTACCACGAAAAAGCATTTTGAAAGATAATTTATTGTTAATCAATGGTTTATGTATTTGAGCGGCCATTGCCGACACAGAGGACTATAAACAATTCTTTTAATTACTACTATACTTCAAATGTATACTATTATACATTATTGATGAACTTTCAAAATATTGATGGAAGATGCGTTCTGAAGTTTTGAAACAAAATCAATAAATTGAACTTTATTTTTGATGTAATAAGTTTATCTGACATTGGTTTAGAAGAGAAGTTGTTTGTTAAAGTATCTTGTAGTAGATGAAATTAGGCTTCCAAGAGTTCGTATTAGATGTTTGCGCGCCACCATTTCGTACTACCGGTACAGTGTCTAAGAGGAGGGGCAAACTGAGTATAATTACTCACTCGTCGGCACATCTAATTGGACGGGCGAACTTGGTACGTGCGAAAAACTTGACTCGACGACCAATTCTGTTTGAGCGCGGTTTCGCGATAAATTGATAGTTTTACCAGCTTTGTGGTTTGTAATTTTCGTGATAGTTCAAAAACTTATCTAAAAATTTCGTGTGCAAAATTTAATATTTAGTGTCCAGCCTCGAGTGGCCTTCTTGTGTTTTGTGTAAAGCCCTGCAACATCAAGTATCCAGGTAATCGACACCGTTTGAATTATATAAACAATACATGTCAAAGTCCACAGTTACTTCATCTGTTTAGGGTTTTGATGAAGCGCGACTCTATTATATAAATTAATATTATTTTAATGAAATGCAATGAAATGAAGTATAGAAATGATCATTGTTCATTTCAAGATAATGTCAAAACTACCCCTACCTGTTGCGCTTAAAAACACGTATATAGTAGTGCTACTGCATCAATAAGGATGAAACGATGTAATTAATAAGTTGTAAAAGGTCGGTGGCAATCGAAAGCCCGACAACCAAAATCACGTCAATCAAAATGTCGATGTTCAAAATCTCGACATGTCGAAAATGTCTACAATAACATTTTTAAATGATTCCGGAGCGTAATGTTATTAATAATAAATAACAACAATTAATAATCTAATTTTATTTTGAGATTATTTCATGTTGTAAGGTTTATTAAGAATAAGTCAATAAAATCAAATACATTGATAATAATTTATTGTTATTTATAAGAAAAAAATATAGCACATGGTGACTATGCTCCGAAATAATTTAAAAATGTTATTGTAGAAATTTTCGATATAGTCGGGATTTTGATACAGTCGGGATTATGCTTGTCGAGATTCTAATACAGTCGGGATTATGGTTGTCGGGATTCTGATACAGTCGGGATTATGGTTGTCGGGATTTTGATACAGTCGGGATTTCGATTGTCGGTTATTCAAATATGCTTTTCAAGAAATTTATTTTCATTTTTACTTTGGTCATCAGTTTTTTATAAAATAATTGACTTCACTACTAAAAATAAAAAATTGTCAAATGTAAATATTTACATTTATTTACTGGTCTTTATTTTCTATAAAAAGTAAACAATGTTATATTTATTTCGACCGGATGTCTGCAAATAATCAACGTGCGAATGTTTTTAAAATCAGCGAAGAACGCTGCAACAACAGAAAATAACATACACACCAAATTCTGTATTAGTAAACAAATTAAGAGAGTTTAAAAAGTTGCATTATTTTCACGAGATTTAGCATATAAATTGTGTCTTTAAAAATTAAAAAATTTGAAAAACATTCTGTATTTGTACATAAAATAATTAAGTTTTATAATTTTTTTTTCAGTATGTTGGAATTTGATTTACATTTGCCAGTCCTTAGTGGTGAGATTCAGACAACAAATGCACATATTGCAGATTTAAATCACATAATGAGGGAAGAATGTGCAGACACTTCGAGAGAATGGATCAATGGTCAAATTCCTGACACAGGATTGGTAGACATTCCAGTTCCATTAAAGAAGCCTCCTCATTATCGTTTATACCCGGTGTACCAGCACCATGCAATGTTAATTGAAACACTCAAAGCAAAACGACCTTACCTGATATCAGGGCACGCAGCATCTGGTAAGAGCACCCAAATCCCAATGTATCTGCTGGAAGATATGGGAGTAAACAAAGAGAAAGGGAAAATACTAATGATCAGGCCTGAAAATTTCGGTACTTTAGCGATGGCAAACCAAATTAGCAAGCAATTGGATGAATCGCTGGGTAAAAAGGTAGGATATGTATCCAACTACCAAACCACAATGTCAGAGGAAACATGTTTGGTCATATGCACTTATGAAATTTTTTTGAATACCATTATTGATCGTAAAGAAATTAGTGGACATATAACACATATTATCATTGACGACGTGGATAAGAGATCTAAGTATCAAAACCTACTTATGACAACTATTAAAAAGTTCATTTCCATATTCGTAAATGTGAAAATCATTATGCTATCTGATAGCAACAATAATAATGAAATATTATTTTATATGAATGGCGTCAAAGAAATCAAATTGTCTATGATTCGGCAACGTACAAATATAGTTTACATTGATCAGATAGCGAATAGGATCCAACATCCTACCAAAATGGAAGAACATGATATGTTGTCCATGATAGCCAAGCTTATTCTTCGAATTAATTTGGAAAACAAATTTGCTACCATCCTTGTTTTCCTGAAGGACTTCGAAGAAATAGAAGTTATAAGGAAAAAGCTGTGTTATTATAATAGGTTTAATCTAATAGTAATATTAGAAGAAGTCAATTTTAGTGATAGAATAAAACCATTTGTTAAAAAGAGAAATCTACAAAATATAATATTAACAAACGCATGGTATTTTCATCATAAAGATGCGAAGTACATTATAGATAGTGGCAAGAAGAAAATAGTTAATTTGGACTTGGTATGATGAAATTTTGCTTGTAAATAATTTTATATAATATTCATGTTTTTAGGCTACTGGTCAATATTTCGTTTATGATGATTGGATTAGTCAGAAGTATGCTGACATGAGGGTATGTGGTGGCGCTAACAATCCAGTTGTAGCATATAGATTTTACACGTTCCGGAACTACAGTATGTTGACTTCCATAATTGATGGTTCACATGAACCTAGATACTTGGAGGTGAGAATCGTTTAGTATCCCCTTACTTAAATTATATTCCTGATTTATTTTATAGTCTTGTATTCTGCGAATTAAGATGATAAAGCTGTGTCATTTCTATATAAATAGAACGTTGCGGAATGTGATGATCCCAATAGATGATTTACATGTGGATAAAGCTATTAAAAGGCTGACCGAAATTGAAGCAATCGATCAAGAAGGAATTATCACTCCTATGGGTCGCCACTTAATTAAGCTCTCCGTGGATCCTTTTTTGGGAAAAATGCTGTTATATGGATGTGTACTATGTTGCGTTGACCCTGTAACTACCATAGTTGCAGCAATCGAATTAGGACTGATTGTCAATTTACCCACAACTAACTCGTTCATTGACACGTTTATAGAACACTGCAATGGAGTGAACAGCACCCACTTGCTTTTCTTGAAAATTTTCCAGGAATGGGAGATGAAAATAGCAATGCACGAGGAAGTAACTGCGTACAAACCGAAATACGGGTTCACACACGAACAGTTGCAATTGGTGCTAACCAAACGCGTGCAATTGATTTGGGAGCTAGGAAACATTGGTTTCGTTCAACAAATTAAAATTTTTAATCTGGGTGCTTTAAATACGAATTCCAACAGCTGGGCTATGATTAAACTGTGCTTGGTGGCCGGTCATTTCCCAAACATCGCTAAATATAACTTTAAAACCAATTTTCTCTTCGATTTCAAGTAAGATTTGCAAAATAAAACAAATCAAATCAAATTGTATATATAATGATTTTTATTTGCAGCACGCGACGCGATTATCAACTTTGCACGACGAGTCTAGCAAGATCCATGATGTCCAGCAATGTGACCTGTGTATTCACCTTTAATGAATTAATTCCTGAGGGTAGGGATTTCAATTTTATTTGTTACACCGCTGTATCTCCTCTCACAGTAAGCTATTCAATTTATATCTGACCATTACCTGTAATATAAAGACACTATCGTTTCAGTCTTTTCTGATTGCACCAAGCTGGAAAGACATTGATGGTGATACGATGTACATTACAAACGACACGTATTTGATATTTTTATCAATGACATTAGAGAAAATTATAAAATTGCGTATGCTTAATCCCAAGAAAGCTACAGTGGATTCACATAAAAGAACGCTGACCGCCATTCGCCATATTTTGGAGACTGAGGATATTTCCTGTAAATTAGGGAACCCAAACACTTTTTCCACTAGAGCTCCAATTAATTTTATTAAAAAATTCACACACCCACAAATTCATTTCGCTATGTGAATGATTTTACACAATATTTACTATTCACACTATAAGATGTTAGCTTTAACATTATTTGCAAAAAATCGCTCATTTATCGTTGTATTTATTTTCTATTTTATTTATTGTTTTAACATTATTTATTATTTTATTTAGATTAGAATTCAAAGTTTGTCAATGGCTATGAAATGTTTTATAAATGTGATATATAATACCAAAAATTAGTTTATAATTAATAAAGTTAACTTTTGTTGTTTTTTAATACAAAATTAAATGTAGTTGTTATTTGTTCTACGAATTACCATGCTTTGGAAATTTTAATGGGTTTCTAATTTCCCCTTTACAATTTTACAAAAAAAAAAGTGGGAGTATAAAAAATAACGCGAAGACCTGTTTCTCGGTGCTCGGGATTTCCAGATCGGCCGGTTTTGCTGTCTTTTCGATCGATTATAAACGAAACCCGCAGAATCGTAATTAGTAAACATGATAAGGTTGAGCCTTGAGGTCATCGATAATTTTGTATCTGGTTTTTCCACGCCGTAGAATGTTGCCAATTCATTGCCTGAGCAACAGTCTTGCTCGATATGCGCTCCTTAAAGGTTGTCTTCAGTTTTATAGCTCTCGCTTGTAGTGCACTTGCTCAGGATGGAGGTAAGTTTAAATATAAAAAAAAGCTTTATTTATATTAATATTATATTTATTAAGGTGAGTTGTGCCAATTGAAGGATGGAAACGTTGGAAGATGTTTGGCGTTGGAGGAATGTCCGGAGGTTGTCGAATCCATCAAGCATCTACAGAAGCCGCAGACGTGTCGCTTCGAAGGACTGAAAGCCATAGTCTGTTGTCCAACGACGCATAGCGAGGTCGGGGTGAAGAGTGCACAACGTAAGACTTATAAAACAAACAATAAACATAATTATTAACATCTTTTATTTTTACAGAATGTAGATTAAATCAGGCACTTGTAGGTGACAACAAAGATACATACGTACAAGCAGAGTTCCCTCACTTGGTAATATTTACACTTAAAGTTATTGTCGAAGCTAATGACAAATTTGCAGGCGGCTTTAGGATTCGATATACCTGGAGGCATCTGGTGGGGTTGCAGTGGATCTTTGATAAATCTCAAGTACGTCCTAACAGCAGCCCATTGTCTTTACTCCAAGCAACTGTAAGTTATAAACCTAAAAATAAAAAGCTTCCAGTTTCAAGTTGTTGTTATTCCTTTGCAGAGGCGCTGTTAAATATGTTAGGTTGGGAGCGAATGATCTGAATGGGACGGAGAGTAGCGCGCAGAATTTCAAGGTTCTAAGGACTATACAGCATCCTGACTACAAAAGTACAGCGGTGTATCATGATTTGGCATTGATCGAGCTGGATAGGATGGTACAGCAGACTAAAAGAGTGCGTCCTGCTTGCTTGAACACAAAGAAAACTGTCGCTTACGATGAACTCTACACTGGTGGATGGGGATTGCTCGGTATTTCGGAGCCACCCAGCAACAACGTCCAGAAGGTCCAGTTGCGCTCGGTGCAAATAGACGATTGCCAAAGGTATTATCCAGCTGGAAACACGTTGTCCCGTGGCGTTGTTTCGGAATGGCAAATCTGTGCTGGGGAGGGTGGAAATGATTCGTGCAAAGTATGTGGCAAGAAAGAAGCTTTTTATTTGATTAACTAATCATTATCATTTTAGGGGGACTCTGGTGGTCCGCTGCAGCGAAAGCACCCCGACAATCCTAATACATATTTAATATTTGGGGTTACATCATTCAGCAAGCGCTGTGGATCGAACTACAGTCCGTCCGTCTACACGAGAGTATCTCACTACATGAACTGGATTGAAACAATCGTTTGGCATTAAGCAAACGCTATATAATCGCACTGAAAATAATATAAAGCAAATGTTTAAATGTGTTTTAATTCATGGCAGAACCTCATGCGACACGAGAAATCGAAGCTTGGAGATTTCAGAGCTGCCATGTTGAATTCTAACATCAACAGCTTCTTGATTGATGTTAAAATATTTTGCTCGGTGTGGGCCATGTATATGCTGGGATATGAGAGTCTGATTTCAACCAACTTCTCGTAGGATTTTTTCAACTCGTACAATTTCTTACTTACGGAGGTGTACATCCAATAATTAGACATACCATTAACTTTCGGGCAAAAAAGGAATGCCTGTAATGAAACTGTTGTAAAACAAATAACAACTAATAAATATAAAGGATACCGTTAATTCGGGTACCACAGTATAACCAGTTGGATTACAAGTGGTCAGATTAGCATTCAAAATGTTATATACGATACTGCACCTCTCAATAGAAGATTTGCTTATGATATTCTTCAATTGTCCTTCGAGCGACAGCGATTTCTTGCAACTGGAATTTACAGTCTATCAATTATCAACTTTGAAAATTTTAATATATTACCAGTAATCTAGGACAATGCATCCTTCTTTTACGTAATGAAGCAGTTTTGGGTAATGGCCGATAACGAGGCACGCCTGGACTAGGGGCCAATTAGTCGCGTTCATATTTGCGTGCGCCAAGTTTCTTTGTTTCTTATTCTGAATAATACCAATCTCTTTAAGTTCTCTCGTTAACTTCATACGTGTCATCAGGATGATTTCCATGTCTTCAGAGCTATAACCATAGCGAATGCCGAAGTTTCGATTATAGCACACGCATTCCTTGAATTTTTATGATAAAGTAATTAAAGTGTTCGCATGTTGCAACTTCACTACACACCTGATACTCTTCAAATAACTTTAAGATCATGACATGGCTACTTAATATACCATCGTAAAAGTAATGGAAATGTTCGTATTTTAGATTCTCCAAGTAACTTAAATAACTAGTAAAAAAATTGTGTAATTTATATTTATATGTACGTATAAATTTCAGGGCATCGCAAGTGCATACGTACCCATTGATGATGAACGAAACCAGGGTGATTACAGGATCCAAGCACTGAAGGATACAAGCATGGATAAGCATTTTCCCTAAATTGGGGGGAACAGACAGCTGCATCACGTAAACTCCAAGCTGCGTTACTCTTCCAAAATTATCCATAGCGTTGGATATGCGCAAGGACTTTATGCCGAAATAAATATAAACAAGACTGACAGGATCGTATAAATTTTGCAAGATGCTGACGATCGAGTTCTCATCATCTGCGAGCAGCTCAGCATAAGCACAGATTTTCTGAAAAGTACATCACAATATCACAAGTTGAAAAAAATTTTTTTTTTCCAATAACCTGAATGCTTTGATTCTGGTTAGTATTGCGATCATAGAACTCTTCGAATTCATCTACATTATACAATCTGTAGACGGAAACATGCGAGTGCGTGCTTCTCTCGGTGATATGGATCGCCTCCTTTCTAGATTTCCAGCTGTAAAATGTGCGAAAAAAATCGTACCCCTGAAAGCATAATTTATAGAAGTTTTTAAATACAATAGTTAGACCATTACAAAGTCGTATAACATGTGACGTTTCAATCCGAAATCAATGATGCATTTAACATCCCTGATTGGTATGAAAGCTTCATCGGTTATCACGACTCTCTGGATATCGGAAGGAGTGTCATGAAAGACTCTCCGTCTGGTTTCGATGGGAATTGACTCATGCAATAGTATGATATCCATGAATTGGGATCTAGGACCTTGCTTCAATCTCGTTTGCAAATCAATCATATTTTTGTAGTCCGCTGTATAAACGACCACAGTGGCATAGCAAAGCTTGTTGAATTCATTCACCAGGAATTCGCTTAAATCAAGTTTGTTATTCATCGTTTCGATGGGAAACGATGTGAGTTTGTTTTGCGTATACGACATCATCACTGTGGCTTGCTTAGCGTTGACGTTAATAGTTACAGGACGAAAATAGCTAATGATCTGATCGTTGTTATCGCTGTCAGATAGAAGTATAACCTTGAGTTTAGGAAAGCGACTTTTATGTTTCCTTATTATATACATAATCAAATTGTGGAAAACGGATTTTTTATCGACATCGTCGATGATAAGATGCGTGACAGTGTTGAGGAAATCGGTGCGTCCAACGAACGTCTTCAGAAATACTTCGTAGGTAGATACGAATAATGAAGTAATTGCAGTGTGGATCCTCTCGTAGGTGGAGATGTAACCAACCGTAGAACCTACAATTTCTCCTCTATCCATAGCAATTTTCTCGGCTAAATCTCTGGTCCCAAAGATTTGTGGCTTCAGCAATATTACATGCACAGATTTGTTTAATGCAGCTGCGTCCTCTAATATGAATTGGGCAACTTGAGAACTCTTCCCAACTGTTACTATTCCACGTATCAAGATCACTTTGTTGTTAGCAATACCGTTCAATATATCCCATTTCTTGGATGATATAGGAATTTGCTTGCGATATTTTTTCATCGCGCACTGCGGAACTACATATCTGATATTTTGCTCCAACAACGTTCCATGTACTGCATGCAATATATCAGTGCGTGCGATTGGAGTGTTCGCAATCAAAGACCAAGTAGGCCATGATTTAATACTCGGTAAACACAAACTCGTCAATTTGGAAACATGCACTGGTATATTCAAACAGTTCATATCCTCCATCACGATCCTCGAATTGAAACAAAAATGAAATAAATACATAACTGTTTCATTAAAAAAATAATAATTTTAAATAATTCAACAAATTTTTAATAAAATCTAAATTAAGACTATGTAAAGACTAATTGAATGTAATTGGAAATATTAAAAGTACTGCAGTATTCAAATTTACTCATAAAGATTTAACTTTGTTACGTGGGTGGCATAAACTGACTTAAGTGACACCCACTATATACATTAACCAATGGCAGTTCGGTATTCTTTTGCGGTTAAGTGAAGACGTTCCAGAGTGTCTGCATGTTTTACAAGGAACATGCGCTTAATCTGACCAATCGGGTCTAGATATTTTGGTCGCTTTCCATGTATCTTACAACGTAAAGGCGGGATCAATACAGTTCCGCCCTGGAATCATAGTCATTTAGTACACACATAACAAGCAAACCGGTTATAACGAATATTTTATATTTGAAATCTCCTAAACTTTCTTCTATTTTGTTAGTTACAATAATATCATTAAAATAATTATTTATTTAATTCATATACAGTCGAACCTCGCTTAACGAATAAAATGAATTGTAATAAAAATGACTCACTTAACGAGCGACGTTTCGCATAACTAGTGACGAGGAGCAGAGAAGCCCCGGATTGCGCGCCTGCAACATCATTTTTAAAGCTTTTGTATACCTATTATGTGTATTTTTGAATAAAAATTTCGATTTTCTTTGTTATCTTTAGTTACAGCGGACTATACTTTGCAAATATAATTTGTGTATGCCGTAAATGTAAAATAAAAATATATTGGGTCCAACCATTATTATAATATATAAACACACTATATACGCTTTTTTATATAAACAAATATAAATTTACTTCACCGTGTGTGAATTGGAAAATAGTTCCTGGTGTTTCCAAACTTGTGTTCAGACATGTTATTTGTAAAAATAACTAAAAAATAAATAAATAAAAAGCCAAAAAATTAAAATAACTATAGATATGAAAAGCAAAATGATTAAAAATCGTAATTTACATTAGTTTATATAGGAAAAACTGTTTCACTATACGAGTAACGGAACGGATTATGTTCGTTAAGCGAGGTTGCACTGTATAGAAAATATTATTAGATTTTTCATTAAATTTTATATTTTTAGATACAAATAATGTAGAGATATTTTACAATTTTCTTATACATATTGTAAATGAACAAGTGTTGTGTTATAAAAAAAATATCATCAGTTAGTTTGAATTTCGCGCGATAAACTGTCAGTTGGTTAAGAAGTAACCTTCATGGTTATGGATCATATATCAATTGACTTTGTCAGCGAAAAATTAAGTAATTAATATTCTGAAAAATGGCGGAACAGCAATTGCCTGCCGTAAGTTTTCTAATTATTTAACTAGATTTGGGAAATATATTATTTTAAATATATGGAATAATACTAATTTTTTGTTGTTGTTGTACAATCAGATTAATTATAGCAGTAAAGCAGTTAATTTACACACAGAAGTAAATACCGTCCAAACACAAACAAAAATAGTAAGAGTGGCCAATAAGGCCACTCAGACAATATTAACAATAACCGAAAACCCGGAAGCTGTTATATCGTATGAGTTAAGGAATAGAGTGGTTTGGACAATTCCGAAGAAAAATTAACATGTAAGTGTTTTGTGTTTCTCAAAATCACAGTAAATTAACATTATTTATTTTTCAGAAATTATTCACACCAATGATAATAGAAATGAATGAATAAATATTAATAAAAAAAATATATAAAAATAAAACTTGTTTCTTTATATCCATATATTTACATCCTATTCATTATCAAGAAAAAAAAAAGATTAATTATGCAATGTGTGTTGTAGACTGTACGTCTTTTTTGCGCAATTAATATATATATTTATTTTTATATTTTTTTTTATAAATTAATAGTACTTACAAAGTTTTGTATGGCTTAGTAGAAGAACAATGATGTAAGACAATTGAGATGCATCCAGTCTCGTAGGCTGCGTCGAAGTGAATGGATAGGAAAGCTGAATGAGTTTGGAAATGCAGATACATACTTACTTCTATTATATTTAGAAATACAATGCAGGAGGAGTTAAGGGCTGAACTGAACTAAGGAAGGGAGCCGATCCTAGTCCAGGGATTGGCAGGATTCTCGGTAACGATCGATTATGTTCAAAGTAAAACTGAAAACAAGGAAACGGTTGGTCGTAAAGGGTGGTATTTCTGGCCAACATGCGCTTTGCATGGCCAACCAACGTACCAACGATGATCACGACAGAGAAACGCATACGCTCTAGCTGTTTCATTTCAATACCGTCTGCGCGTCGCGACGCTTCCAGATTAAATGACCCAGATTCCTGCCAGTTGCAAGCTACCCGTTGTGCAACAAGTACAGCAGTCTAAACGTAGCAGCCGGTGGTGCAACATCAAGGAGCTCCCCAGTTCAATTAAAGCTTTACTAAGTAAGTCTGCATATAATTTTCATGCATGCATACGAGTGGTTGTAATAAGCGATGATACAAATTAATTGAATTAAATTTCAAACATTTCTATACGCTCTTATTTTGAAAATACCAGATTTCAGTGTCGCTGTGAATTTGACAATTTTACCATGCAAGAGCTTATTCTATACCTCGATGAGATGATTTAATATATTAGTATACTGCACGAGAATAATAAATATAAAGGCGGGAGAAAGAAGTAATTCTCGTAACAGCAACAGGTAACTGTTGAAAATCTAAGCACGATGGATGAGTTTAATAAGTTAATGGAACAGAGCATAGAGCATATTACTGAAGATGTTGATAAAGTGGACGAGGTAGATTCCAACGCTTCGGAAGAAGAGCAACCGTTCTCCAGAGGTTGCTCTGTATCTCCACCGATTCCGATATGTGGAAACTTAGATTATTTAGATTTATCTAACGAAGCTACAGTGCTCGAAATCGTCAATGGGGCTGTCTCCAAAGCTCTTCTTTACCCAAAAGTGGGCTTCTTGGACGATGATTCGCGATCGTTGGAATCTAATGCACTCTGCATTGATGAATCTGCTTCTTCTGAAACCGAGGACTCTCCGAACTGTTCGCCTGTAAACCAGCAAACCCAACCCAATACCACTGAAGAGGCTGATGATCAGTTCCTATTGGACTTAATTGATAGGGATGCTCAGAAGTTATTGCATGACACCGAAGTTGATGCGCAGAATCAGGTGTCTTCGATGGATTCTACACTCATTGGACCAATGCCACCTCCAATTGATCTAATGCACAATGGTACTATTTGCCCTAATGTCCAAGGGCCGATACCTGAGTTTTTGGATTTCAATGAATGGACACTTCCGTGCGAAGAGAACACGCAGGGCAGTAAAAATGTTGATGTATCGATTTGCTTCAGTTATTCAAATTTCGATGATTCTTCAAAGAACAAAGCTATGGACGATCAAGAGAGGAGGAGGAGGAGGCTCATCTACGAGTTAACTCAAGATCCGAACACATCTGAGCCGAACCCAAACCCAACTCCATCAACAAGTATTGCAACTACAAGAATCACATATAATTTTGTCTGCGCGCAAGGATCTTCTAACAAACAGAATGCTTCGACTTTGAAAGCTTGCGCTATAATCAATAATAATATTCTGTCGAAATATAACTATCCATATGAGCGGCTTAGGCTTTCCTCAAGAAACCTTGAAATTGTTGATGGAATTATTTCGAAATACATCAAAGATTGTTTCGGCGAGCAGGAAGATCTGTTTAGAGAATCTAGATGTATTCAGTACGGTCCGTCGAGAAACTTTATCAACATTTCGATGTACGTCAATCCTAGGCGCCTGCATATGAGGAATTCTGGAGAACCGATTTCGTTCTACCATTTCGAGTCCAACACAGTTGTTCTTCAATTCCCATTTCCAAACCACCATAATGATACCGAAAGGCCCAAAAAAGCTATTAAGAAGATCCGTCGTTATCACGCGACTTTCCCAAAGAATCTCAACATGCAAATCGAGAAACGTCACGAGGTAGCACGCAAATTGGTTGCAAGCATTTTCGAAATGGAGAAGAAAGATGCTTTTGGAGAGAATAGAAATTCTGGCAGAGGAGAAAGGAGGATGTCTAGAATGCTGGGTCAACCTATAAATCTGAGATTTTCTTTGGCCACTGGCGAAATCTCTGAAAACACTAATATTCCATTCGAGGCAAATCATTGCATCGAGGAAGTATTTGAGGAAGGCTTTGAGGATTCCATTGAAGAAATCGGCTTGGACATCACGTTCAAGGATATAGATGATGAAATCGAGGAAAACATTGCTGTACCAAGTACTTCTGGAGTGTCCAACCTCAGGCAATCTGCTCATTTTGTAACTCCGATGGACGAAGAAGCTAAATTAAACATGGATGTTGGTAAGTTAAGTGGTAATGTTAGGTTACTCAACATTAATTTTTTTTTCTCTTTCTAAATTACAGCTGCCGACGATGGAGACGAAAAGTACGATGATGCTGCTACAAGCGACGATGAAAGTGAATCCAGGTTCTCTCTTTCTGAATAATTTGTGTAATTGTTATTGACGCAAAATATGGCTATTTCTAAATGTTCTGTATGTGAAATTATTCATTGCTATATATGTTACATTAACTGTCTTATTGCTTAAATGTTGCAATTGCTAAAAAAAAGAAACAAAAACAAACTGCTACGCTTAAATACTTGATGTACTTCTGCTGAACTATCCCCTAAATATGTTATATTACCTCAGTCGCATACCTTGAGCAAATGTTGTGTTATTGAGATTAAAAACTAATTAATATATTGGATTTAAAGTCCATTACATAAGAAATATGTTCCTTGTTGTATTAAGTGTTACTTGTGACTTTACGTCTATTATATATAATGTAAACCTTTATTGGAAAAAGTTCTTCAAATGATAGATGATATTACCCACAAAAATGATATAACGTTTCTTCACGTAATTGTAACAAATCAATAAAGGTCTATAATAAAAAATAAATGTTTTATGGGTGTTATATAAAATGAAATAAGTGTATTGAAAGTGTCTGTAACTGTAAACTTTAACGATGAAAAAAAGAAGTTAAATCCATGTCTGTAATGATGAGTAAATATCTAATAAAGCTTTCAATGTACGTACAAAATGTTCATAAATGAGTTTGATCAAATATATTATCTATAAAAACAACCATTAAATTCTACGGTCACCGGAGAACAGATGATATTTGGTACTAAGACAACATTTTCAGAACTTCAAGGGTCGTAGGGCGGCATTCGAGCGGTTAAATACGTATGCGGCGCGTTAAATCCAGGCCGGTATGCGCTCTGCAACCCTAGTAGTAAGGGAGAGCCGCGTCGCGCAACACCACGAATCGGCAATGCTCTCGAAGCCCTGGCATTTCATGATTCAGATAAAAAAAAGTATGATATCAACTGTAAAAAAGTAGATTGGGAATGTTCGTGGCGATGTAAAACTCCTTTTGCTGCAAGAGGAGCCCTTTTCTTATAGGTAAGTCTAATGAATGAGTATCTGTTGATTTCTAATTTATAGCTTTATTTCAATTTTACTTAGCTTACTTTAGGTTTTATATAAGTAATTTTTAATTAATCTAATCTGCCAAATAAAACCAGTTTCAGTTGTATTTGTTTAATTGCTTAGAAGGTAGCTAAGCTTAGTTATAGAGTAAACAACAATCTGAAATGAAATAAGTTTGAGCATGTTAAATGAATCATCTAATGTTTGTATACATTTTTGATATGAACTTGAAAATTAGAAAGGGTTTAGCCATTGAAGGGAAGCAAAGTTTGGTTATAACATGGTTTGGAGTAGACTAGGTCATCGTTGTGGAGGAAAATCGATAGGGCCTTGCCGGCATCTTTCAGGGAGCGGCGTGGCTGCGTGGACACCAGAAATGAAATATGTACTTCGATTGGTTTCGTCTCTGCATCAATATATTCCATGTTATCTCATACAAATGTACATATTTTAATTTTTTATATAACTCTATTAAAACTTTGATTGGCTTTGGACCCCTACATGCATTTTTTCATCTTTATTTCCTCATTCTGTGGATGCGAACAGAACAGGAAAAGTTCAAATTGGATAAAACTATTTTGATTAAAAATGAGCACGCAACTTATACATTAGTCGAGTATGTGGAATAATAAAAATGCACACGCAACTTATAAATCTATCGAGTATATAAAATAATGTTAATTCAAATGCACTTCAACTAAAACTAAAAGTTTCTTAAATATTTAGTGAAGAAGGACCAGCATTTCAACATTTTATTTAATTACTCAATATCTAATAAAGATAGTTAAAGATTCAAATTACGGATTAATTTTTCCAAAATCAAATATTTTTTTTTTGTTATAAGCTGATGTGAACAAAATTTAGTGTCTTTACAAATTGAAAACTCAAATCAAACAGAAATGTTCACAGAATCAAATGAATTTACCAATTCATTTCTGTGTAATAAGTTGTATAATTTCAAGTAAACAAAAATCATTCTAGGAAAAGCATTTTACTTATTTACTCGACATTCAATAAATATAGAAAAGATATTAAATACTCAAATTAAAGCCAAGTATTTACAAAATCAAATGAATCCTCAATCATTTACGTGGCATTTGTTCTTTTCGCGTAATGAACTTATTTTGTCCAACCATTCATATGGGGAAAACATGGGAAACAAGATGCAGAATAGGCAATTCCATCGAGTGTAATAACCGATAAGAAGATTTCTTCAAATTTTTAACTAGGAACCAAAAACAGATTCCGCAGTAATCTGTGCCTTACTCCTAGAACTTCCACTCTCCTGTTGTTTAGTTAATTGTATACATATAATTAGTATTTGAATTAGTCTTAGAAGTATCGTTAAAGGAACAACTTCATAGTCTTAGAAGTATTGTTAAGGAAATAGAAGCAAATAACAAATATTAAAATAATAAACTACAAGTAAAATTAATTATTTACAAAATTATTTACCTAAGACTCGACAACAGATAACCGAAGAAAATATTTCACAGTGTCCATCCATCCCGAGACACGACAAAATAAGTCTCTAAAAAGCAGTGTTTTTAAGTTTTAGTTAATTAACAATTAATAAAGGTGGAACAATCAAATGAAATAGAAATATTCACAGAATCGTATGTGTTCACAATAATTTATATTAAGTTAACGGTATTCAATTAAAGAAAAGAAGTGTCGGAAAAACAACAGTTTTACATATAATACCAGGTGTTATTCATTCAACACGTATAAAACTAAAAAAAGCTTTTGGCTGGTATCCAAACGCATTTGTCGAGAAAACAAGAGGGGACAATAAATCATTATCGAGCTTCTAAAACAATTTCCATCGGACGCATTTTTTTTACAACCGCTACTCAATAAACCAATAAACTGGTGTTATTGTTTGGAACGTACGGCTGTTCGGATTTCGAATTTCTTTATGGTTGCATAATAAAAACGACACACAATAATAAATCATGAGGTAGCCAAAATACGCACAGCGTATCGGGTAGTAAACATCGACCAGATGTTAATATGAATACGCATATTTTTTTATATTGTTTTTGCTAAAATGCAAGCTGCAATTGACACGTTCCTTCATATATTTTTTTTTATCATATTATGCGTAATAAAACCTCGGATAATGTGGATACGGATTTAGTGCCGTGTGGAACTATAACCCAACCCAACCCCCTCAACTCATATAAATTATTTTTTAAATATAATCTGTGTAATGTATAAAAAAAATTAAATTCAAAATAAACTTAATATCAAAAAAAACTACGTTGTAAATAAACCTCGTTTAAGCGTTTATGCGTTCATAAACGATTCGAGTATACAGCGTTCGAGGACGAATTAAAAAAAAATTATGTACGTCATGATTGAAATACTTAGGGTGGAATAAAATGGAATTTATTTGTTTCTCTTTTGCGACGAGAAACGTGCCCAACAGAAGCTTGACAAAAACGTAGTTTTAAAAGAATATTAAAGTAAATTGTGCAACGCTGACAAGTATGAACTAAATATATTTAGTCACGTTATTACACGAAACACGTGTAATTACACGTGAATAACGCTCGTTTGTTCAAGTTTATTATAAGATCTAGTCACTTGCAGAAAGCTTTTCAAAATATATAAATTAAAAAAAAAAAGATAATCGATGAGAACTGTCTGTTTCCCATTATCAAAGGCAGACAAGAAAAATAAAATATTGAAAAATGGGATGAAACATGAGAAAAATTGCGGTTTGAAAGACTTTTGGTCCTTAGGAAAATTTTATTGGCAAATGTATATATTTTTTACGATTTTCCTATAAAAATTGAAATATTAAATTTTTGGTTGGAAATGATTTTGTATTGAAAATATTGCGAAATTAAATGAAAAGCTTATGGAAAATATCGATTTATTAAAATTTTCACTTGTAATCAAGATATATTGTTATGGTATTAACATGAAATTTGGTGTTGATTGGACTAAATTCAAATAAATCAAAACTAATTGTATATGCGAAATGTATACATTTAATCAACTAAAAATAATGCATATTTCCATGTGAATCTGCAGCTTCAAAATAACACGTATTGTTTTGATTTTTCTGAATATTAATTATTAATTATATTAATGCCGAGTTGATTACGAAACAATTTCCTGCAGACGGCAGTTGAAATTCATATAATTAAATCTTTCAGAATTATCCATTTGAAATACATCGTAAAAAAAGTATAGAATCAATATCGAGCAGGCTCCGCTGCAAGAGTGTTCTTACGTAACGTTCTAGGAATAGATGTAATTAGCATCCGCCGGTTGCAGGTGTACTTTAAACTCATAATTTTGATTATTCAATAAACTCGAGTGGCGTTGATGAATGACAGGATCCAATTATTCGCACTGTTGAATCGCTGTTGACACTGTCGATAATACTTAGAGAAGTGTGGAAGGACAAGGGGTGACCGTGAGGGAAATAACGTTGCATCGCGCAAATACACCCTCAGATAGGCCATAACAAACCTGATGCTATATATCATGTTTTTTCAGAGATTATTTTTCAGTTTGTAATATGTGTTCAAAGAATATGGTTGTGCTCAGTCTCTTATTTAATTTTTTTTAAGCAGGATAAGAGAACCAAAGTTTGTGGTTGGTTATGGTTACTCAGTGGCAACAACTTCAAGCAATCATCAATTTGATCATAGGATATGGAAGTGTTAATATCTATTATTTGAATATTTTCAAAACTGGATAGAAACAAAACAAAGTATGAATTGGATATGGTTACTCAGCCTACAACATCTTCAAGTGATCAGGTCTCTTATTTGAATCTTTTTGAAGCAGAATAATATCAAGGGGTCACTTTGACCCATCCCTAGTACTTACGGCTTAAATGAAATAAAATCGAACTTTATTTGCATTACTTTTTCATTATTACTAAATGAAACTGGAATTAACATTTCAATTTTGTTAACAATTCATATTTGCTTATTGAATGGAATTATTTCAAAATTTCAT